AGCCTGGAGTTAAATAATTTAAAAACTAAAGGTCTAATGAAAAAAGTTGTTCTTTTTGAGTGGACACGCCCTTTATAACTATTTTATCATCTCTTCATTGGTAATTTGTAATAATGCTTCAGTACTAAAAACTTTACTTAAAACTGTCATCCCCAATTAAAAACAGAAGCTTCACCAACAAATCATAATCCGTTTTTTTTCTTCTTCCACTTGCCACCTCATAAATCATGCCGAAACAGGGATTTAGCATATTGCAAAAAATTAATTTCGGACTGTCTCAAATCGCAGACACAAGTAAATCGGCTTACATTTAATTAAAATAGCATGTCATGGGTTGGCAGCGAATTTATTGCAATACCGTTTTGCAGGCATCTGTGATCTAATCCTCTGCTCCACCGCGCACTGTGTGGCCATGGAACAGATATTTTTTTCGGCCAAGAGAATTATCGAAACGTTATAATTATGATTCAACTTTTGATTACCCATTGTTGTAAGTTCTTTCAGGATAAAGTAACAAAATGCTGTTTTAGCTTTTAACATTTTAAAAGTCTGCTCATGGAGTCAAACGGCCATTTGAATTCAACACGTATTTAGTTAATTATTTTCAAATGTTGTTGCAGTGTTTCGTTTTCGAAAAAATAATTGGTCCCACGAGTAAGATGTTTAAACTATTAAGTTTGCCTCATTTAAAATTCCAATGAATTACTTCAACATTATTCAGTAAAGATAATGGCGGCAACTGAGAAATGAAAAAGTACGCAAGTGTTAATATTTTGCATATTTATATTCTTCTGTACTAATAACAATAAATTTGTCAAAAAAGATTATGAATTAATAAATAAATATCCTGTTAGTATCACTTGGTTTGCATATATTTGATGGAATGCAGATCCAAAACTCTTCATAATTTGACAAATGATAATTTTTATTGATTTTTAGCGAAAAATATTTACTTACCTAAAAAATATGGTAGATGTTTATTATAAATTTATTTATATTATCTATTAATATGCAATAATGCAACGTTGCAAATTTAGGGTTTTGGTTGGTAAATACAGTTGTCAAGTTGGTCGCATTGATTAAATCTAATTGTGGTTATGTATAAATTATTGTAGGTTACATTGTGCAGTTGGCAAGTTGAGTTGTCGAAATTCGTAGTTAAAAATGCAATTAATTTGGCTTTGGTGGTGCTTGGATGAGTAAAATCATATAAAAAAAGTAGTTAAATATGTGTGATGTAATATTTATAAAACCAAATTCGTTACTTTTTTACTCCAAAAATGTCCATAAGGCGATGTACTTTTTCTTCCATTGTGGTATTTGGCATAATTTCATCAAAATGAAGTTTTGCCCTCGAAAGGGCTTTTACATTCGAATTCGTTGCTATTATTTTTGGCATAATTATCTTTTTATTTATAATTGACAAGGAAATTATCAATAATAAATATTATTGTCAATTTGACAGTGTCAAAGTATTTATTTAAATTCTTTAGCAGAAGTACCATTTTTAAATACTAAAAATACCAAGTCAAACTGGCATAAGCCACCAACCTAACAAAAAAACACGAGTCCAGATAAAAACAATGAACTGTATATAGTATATAGTATATAGTCATATATTTATTCCAAAGTTAATAATTTTGTGTTTTTAATACATATAAAATGATTTTTCTGTATTTAAGAAAAAAAACATAATTTAACAGTCTGAAGTTTAAAGCTCGATATCTTTGAAATGTCAATTGGACTTTTTTTTGTAGAGCATTAAGTTTTCTATAAGGGGTAATTTTGTCTTATGAAGTAGCTTGTTATCACGTTACAAAACGCCTCCTCTAAATATTAATATTAAGAGCTCATATTTTTACAGGGTCGTTTTCTAGAAATACAATGTTATTTGAAAAAAAAATAGTCGGTTTTTTGAGAAACTTTAGCATATACGTACAAATCGTATTTTTTTTCAGTGAGATATTTATTTTTATTTATTATTTTTTATTTTAGTATGTATAGTAGTAGCTAACATAAAAATAAATTTTGCGAATAAACTTGAAATTGACTGGCAACAGCACGAGTGCATTGTTTTTTCCTTTCCGCGGTGGCGATGATCACCTGACGCAGGTGGCTAAAAAACAACAAGAAAGAAATAACTCGACGGCAGAAGCCTTTCAACAACAGGTGGCCGTGGAGGGCCGCCCGCCTGCTCGGATCCTTGGCGCGTCGTTGTTTTTTTTGTCGCTTTTTTCTTCCGTTCCGGCTTCATTGTTCTTTTTTCACAAACGATTATCCTGTTAATGGGCCTGTGTATTTGTTATAGTTTAGTATACAGGGTGTCATTCTTTGGGGGGGATGATAGAACACGCCAAAACGCTTACATAAAGTAATGCGCTGTTGTTCATTTTACTATGGCATAATTGTCTTTTTTAAATTACTATCGTTGTAATTCAAATTAATTTTATTTCAGTTAGAAAATCTTTGTTCATAGCTTACGTTAAGAACAACAACAAAAATATTTTAAAGCTATAAAAAGACTTTTAATATATATTATTGTTTTGCAATGGTAACAAAATTTTTGTTATTTCCCGTAAAAAGAGGGGGAAAGGGCCAGCGCTCTCCTTGGTGAACATAACTTTATAATCCACAGTCTGTGTTATAATATTATTGATTTCACTTGTACGAGTGAAGTATGGTAAAATCTAGCATGATAAAAATATCAAAAAGATCACTAAGAAAATTAAAATTTCGACGTTTCCTAAAAGAAATATTTAAGGTATATTCTATAAGCGAAGCAGACTTTTTAAAAAGTGAGTTCATATTTTTTTGTACATCATATAATATAAGTTAATTTTTTTATTATAATATATAATTTGTTTTAATGCCTTGCAATTATTTTTTTAAAACTACCTAATACCCAACAGTAGGTTGAAAATGTGACCATTGTTACAATGAAAATAGTTTATTGAATTAACAATTAATTTGTTGTTAAATTTACATAAATTGTATTAATATTATAAATAAAGTTTTATTTCAAACGAAAAGGAATTTATAAAATTTACAAAATTTCTATGAATAATACCATTAGGGTTTCAGTAATACTACAAAACGTTTTTGTAAACGGTATAGAACTGTTTTTTTTTATACAAATAATAATAATTATATTTATCAATGCGATTCTGCATCTGGAAGAGTGTTATTTTTATAAACATAACGTAAATTTACTTCATAATTAATGCAAATGCTATTACTGAAAGCAGCGTTTGTAGATAAATAATTTTTATAAAAATCATCTTTTTGCCATAACAAAAGCAATTGTTGGACTAATAGGGAACTTTACTTTACACAGTAAAAAAATCAACTCTAAGCAACACTAATTAGAGTTCACACAGGTCCATACTAAATAGTGTTGTTTTATAACACTACAATTAGAGTTAATTTGTAGTGTAATTTTCCCCAAGTAAGCAAGTATGATTTAACACTTTAGCACTGAGGATAAAGTAATTTTACACTGTATTAAAAAGTTTTAATTTACCTAAAATCGTGTACTTCTACAAAATCCCACTTTTGTTTAGTGTAAATTAACACTACTTTGGAAAAATTTTAGAAGGGTACTTTTATCTTTTAGTGCAAACTTCTAGTGTAAATTATTTGAGTAAAACCCATTGGTGGTAGTGAATAAAACGAAAAGGTAAATAAAGAGAAGCATTTATTTGGAACAAAAATCTATGACAATTATCAAAATCGGTGCCTAAAATATAATTTTATATTTGAGTCGTATGGCTGGCTTAAGCAAAATGGTTCCTTAAAACGTAAAAGTTTTAGATCAATGCAATGTTTTACTGGCTGTCAACTTGTAAGCAATGAATTATCTTGAGAATTCATTAGTAATCCATTTTTCTGTTATAAAAAATGGGTGATCCCATTGGTAGAGAGGCGTCAGGCGGCTGTATGTCGGGGATTTACCACACGTGTACAAATTTTCCATAATATTAATAAAAATGTAGGTATAGGTTAATATAACAACCATTACGCTTGAAAATAAAAAGTAAATCAAGTGTGTATGTATTTATATTATTAATGTTACAAGTACCCGACCTACTGCAGTAAATTATTGATATATAATATAGGTCGAGTATGGACATCCTTTTAACATATTGGTATTTATTGAGTATTAAGGCTTAAAGAAAAAGGAATTATAATACTTACCAAAAAATAAGAATGTCCCCTTATGGATTCACCGTAATTAAAATCTAACTGAACAAAAATGCCACACTTCCACAACGCGGTATCTCCGGATATGCACTGCGTAGGTAGATAGGTACCAACCAAACATTTTAAAACGCATTTCGGTTATTACCAGTTTTTTCAGTCCATTTTGCCACTATTGGTGTAATTTAACTTTAATTGTGATACAATGTGCACTAGTAGAAAGTGTAAAGAAAAAAGAGCTCTTAGTAACATCAAAACAGAGAAAGAAATTGGCATTCACTGTAGTATACATTTTGTCACTATTTAACACTCGCATTAAGTTTTTCTACCCTTTTGATTTATTTTAATAATAAATAGTGTGAATGTACCAATGAATAATGTTAATATTCTTTAAATGTGTTTAATAAAGTTAATAAGCACTAAATGTTACCTAGTGTATTTTGTAGTGTAACTTTTACACTTACAAATCAACTCCAATATTTTTAACCCTACACTAAAAAATTTACACGGGCAAAATTTTTTACTGTGTATTAAGACAAACAAATTTTTTTGTTATATTTATTAAAAAAAATTTTGAGTGTAAAAAGTTAGTATTGTTTTATTCAAACTACCTAAAAATAGCTGAGTATGCAAAACAAAAACAATTATCAACAAAGTAATCAATGATAACACAAATGTAAATTTTTAATGAATGTGTGCAATTTTGCGTCAGTTGTCAAAGGTCAGGAACAACCAGTGGCGCGAAAATTTCTTCTTTTCTTGTAAAAATTTTATTGATTTTTTTTATGTTTTTGTTGTTTTAGGAAAGGAACGTCTCCCAGGACAGGCGCCCATAGCACCGTAAGTGTTTTATTTCATTTAAAATATACATTAGTTGACGGATTATTTTCAATGAAATGTCAATTTTTTAAATTTATGAAAACAGTATACGAGTACGACGAAAAGTTTAATTTTATGTTTCATCGCAACCTTCGAAGAAAAATTGTTTCAAGAAAAACGAGAAAATTTGCTTATTAGGCGAGTTAATTAACGAAAAAAAAAACGCTCGTCGCGTAAAAAATTTATCACGATTTCTAGTCGACACTTTCGCTTAGAGTTGATTAAAGTTCAATCATTATTTATATACATATTATGGATTCTAATAAATCAATTAATTTAATTTCATTAATTAACTATACTTATTTTCGTACATGTACGAGAATTGTTAAATTTCGCGGGTTCAGAGGGTCCGGTTGTCATAAAATTTTCTTTATTATGTTGGTATACATGCCCCCGAAGTATGATAAAAACTTTAGCAGTTTTCATTGTTTACTTTGTTTGTGGCAGCCGCTAAGGTTAGACGTGTTTTATGAGCTCGGCGATTTTTCGTTCGTTAAAAGAAATGGATCAAAGAATTTGTATCCAATTTTGCTTAAAAAATTAAATAAATTCTGTGAAATGTTAACAAAGGCCTATAGTGAGTCTGCTATAAGTAAACCAAGAGTTTACAAGGGGTATAAGAGTTTCCAAGATGGTCGTGAAGACGTTGAAGATGACGAACGCACAAGCACATTAACAACCGATAAAAACATGGAAAAAGTGGAAGAAATGGTTATAAACCATCAGAGAAGTCGCTGATGATGTTGGTATATCGCTTGGCTCATCCCATGAAATTTTTTCGAATGTGTTGGGTATGAAACGCGTGGCAGGAAAATTTGTTCTAAAATTGTTAAATTTTGAACACAATTTTTGGCCAAAAACAATACTGTAATGATGCCCCAGCCTCCATATTCGCCAGACATGCCTCTGTCTGACTTTTTCCTATTCCCAAAAATAAAAAGAACCTTAAAGGGCCGTCGTTTTGCAAGCATAGATGACATTAAAAGCGCATCGCTGAATGAACTAAAGGCTATCCCAAAGATCGAGTTTTAGAAGTGTTTCGAGTATTGGAAGAAGAGCTGGCACATGTGCATAATATCCAATGGGGACTATTTTGAAGGCGACAACATTAATGTGGACGAATAAATAAATATTTGTTTCAAAATATGAAAATTCCCGATATTTTCTGAACAAACCTCGTACATAATTGAAAAAAAATAGTTTGGTGCTAACATTCAAATCCTTACGTCAAAACACTTTCGTGAAAAACAGTTCAAGATCGTTTTTCCCAACCAATGCACTTAACGACCGACACACACACACATACACACAAAAACAATGAACAGTTTAATTAGCAGTTGGGAAACATTTAAATTTATGATGCAAGGAGTACAGTTAGGTCTTTTTTCACTTATTTTCAACCGTCGGGCAAATTTTCCAAGCAAACAAAGAAAATCGATTCGGGAATGGGCCGTCTCGGAAAAAAATAAAGTAAATGAGCGCAAAAAAAAACAAACAAACGTGACTCATAGTTTTACATCCAGAGGAATTAGAATGTTTAATTTAAATTTAAGCGCCCGAACGCATACTTTAATTACATTATGTTTAGGATCGTTTTTATTTTGTTTTGTTTTTGCAGTGACCTGACAGATGATCTCAACCTATCAGAAAGCGATGACGAGCACAAGCCACCTACGCATGCGCCATTAGGAAGGTAATATTAAATATATTTTTATTATTTGTTTTTTTTGTTATTGCTGTATACTGTTTTTAATGGGCATATTCTAGAATTTAAAAAATATCTCTGCTAAGCATTTTGAAATTTTGTACAGATAAAAGTTACATTATAAATATTTTCATGACCTGCCTCAAGTTTGGCACTTTAATTATGTTTTAACAGAAATTTATTGCAAGTTAATTTTGTTGTTAACTCAAAACAATTGATAATAATTTTTTTTTAAATATAAAATACAACTATAAAACTTTGAGCTTAAAAATATTGATCTTTAAAAATTAGGTTCAAATATTTTACTCTACAAAATTTTTGATTTAAATTTGTAGTGTCATACTCGATCTAAATAAGTGCCAAGTATTTAAGGTAAAAATTATCAGTAGGTATATATATAATACATAATTTAAAAAAATATTTTGTCAATAAGTCGTCGACAATAAATTGCATATTATGTAACGAATTGTTGTAATGATCTAATTGGCTAAATATTTAGCTAAAATCTTATTTAAAATCTTTTATATGTGAAAGGAAAATGAAAGTTTCAGTCTTGCTAATAAATCCTTGGTTGTATTCGATCTATAACATTATCTTAAAATTTGAAGTATTTTGTTATTTAAAATATCTTAATTAAGTATAAGAGACTTTTTTATTAATAAATGCGTTTTTTATAAATACAAATATATTAATAACACAGTAGTAACATCAAAAAGACACAAAAAATCGCCGGGACATGTAAACCTAATTTTTGGGTGTAGAATTCAGTGGTGTAATCCGTTTTTTAAAATTTGGTCGATTTCTCAAGATATTTGAAATTTTGTGTTTAAATATTTTTTTATTTGTTATTTTGCTATATACAGGGTGAGTTTTAAGTTGACGCGTTCCTTTTAACAGCGTGTAGAAATCAGATATACAAATAAATATTTTAAGTAACTTTTTTTATCAAAACTCAAAAGTAAGCGAGTTATAGCCCTTCAAAGTTTAATTAAATTTTGAGCCGGTCCTGGCTATTGTTAACAAAAAACATAACCATAAAAATAAAAATAACAAAATAAACAATGCAAAATGTCATCTATGACAACAAACATAACCATTTAAACCAAAATAACACATTTTTAACAATTATTATTATAATTGAGTCTCAAAGAAAACTTAAGTATATAATGACATTTAAAAAAAAATTAAAAAACTACTTAAATAACAAGTTGTAAAGAATGTAAAAAATGTTTAATTTTATGCCTTTTTGAAGATTGACCAACAAAAATCAGCAAGCATCGAGTCGAATTTTTTGCCAGAAAACCGATCTTTAAATGTCATAATGGTTTGATGAAATCGTTTACCAGCTTCATCGGATTCGGTTGAAAGTTGTTTTTCATAAAAATTAAAATGAGCATGCAAAATTTGTAGCTCCATATTTATACTTACTTAACCACAAAACTATGTAGCAAAGAATTATTTCAATTGTAAAAACTAAAAACAACATTTATACAGGCTGTACTCAGTCTATTTACTAGTAAATGAAATTCTCAAATTTTATTAAATTCGAATATAGACAATAAAATTTACTAAAACAAATTTAATTCCAAAAAAAAGAAATATGCGAAAAATCTAATAAAATTAAAAAAAATATGAATAATATCGGCTTAAACACGAATGTTATTAATTTAAGAGACAAAAATTTATGAATTAAAATACAGACATTTTAAAACGGATTATGCTATATTTTTCTTTAAAAATATAGCAAAAAACTTAAATAATTAATATCTTGAGAAAACGAGCTAACTTTAAAAAACGGATTGCACCACTAAATTCTACACACAAAAATTAGGTTTACGTGTCCCGGCGTTTTTATGTGTCTTTTCAAAAGTTTGAAATTTACCTACAGTGCAGTGCTGTCAATCGAGAACTGCGATAATACCCGCAATATGTTTTCAAAATGCTCACAGTAATCCTCGCAATAAAATCAAAATCCTTACAAAATCCTCACCAAAACTTAAAAAAATAATAAGATATACAATTTAATAAGTTATCACTTATTTATATTAAAAAACATTTATATCATCACAGATTTTTTTATTAAAAACAAATAATAAACAATTAATTTTTTAATTTTATTTATAAGTAAATACTCACTTAAAAAATAATTATTAAAATAAAGTTTTTCAACAGTATATTATTGATAACTTACCGTATTTGAACTTAATTTCTTAAGCCACTTATCCATTCATAAAATTAAACCATGCAAAATAAACGAAGTTTTTGTTTTTATTACATTTTAATCTTATTCTGTTGGCACACATGATTTCGTTTGTATTTTGTAATGTCATACACATACTTCCACAAGTATGTGATGTCATAGACTGTCAGTGCCATCTCTAGTCAACAGTCTGAACTATCGATCATCAGTGTTGCCGGACTTACCGAAAAATAAATAATTTTTTTAAATAAATTAATAATTTTATTGTATACTATTAAAATAATTCAATGATTCCAGTAGTATAGTAGTAATCCTCACAAAAGTTAATCCTCACACTTTACCTCACAGCATATCTAAATGCTCACCGATGTGAGCATTTACCCGCAAATTGACAGCACTGCTACAGTGTAATACGTAAAAAAATAAAACTATTTTCTTGTCAGAATGTTGTCTCCCATCGCGGCCACGCCGGCCCACCCGTTCGCCAACAACAACCTCCACCCGCACCCGAAAATGGAGCGGCATATCGCCGCCCCGCCGCCCCCGATAGCGCCCCTCTCGCCCGTCAACTCGTCCTCCAGCGACTCCGGATCCGACTCCGGTTCTGACTCGGATTCTTCGAGCGACGACTCTGCCGAGGAGCCCGTCACCTCGGCGGCGGCTGTGCCGGCCCCGAAAGCACCGGTGGCGGCGGTCGCGGCGGCGGCGCCCGCCCCCGCCCCGCCCGAAGTGCCCGTCAGCGTGTCCCCGGAACGAGAGGTAAGTTACTTCGAACAAGCGAGTAACAGTGTAATTTTAAAAAGTACTTTAAACCAAGACATAAAAAGTACTAGTACAAATACAGGGTTTTTATATAAAAACGAGGAATGTTCTATAAATCTGGAGCTAAAAAAAACATCAAAAATTCCTCAAAACCGTTTCTAGGATATGTGGAGGAAATCCTGGAACGGTTGTGATAAATTTCTGATATCTTTTTTATCTCCAGACTTTCTCGTTTCTAAATGAACAGCAATGAGCATTTCTCGTTTTTAAATGAACACCCTGTATATATATATACATATATATATATATATATATAGGCATATTTATTTATTTATTTTTTAGATACGGTGGAATCTCGCTTCGTTCGTGTCCAGTCAGAACGTGGCGAACAGCAACGATCCGTCTTCTATCATGTCGCCGAAGGTGGATACATCCGGCCAGCAATCCAACCAGATTTCGATACCTGAGAGTCCTGACAGCATGAAGAAAGGTACCGAGGACTCGGACACAAACGATTCCAAGGATATTGTCAGAGTGGTAAGTAGTTCTTCTTTGCACATTCTTGTGTTTTTTTCGACATATTTTAGTAGTTCCAACAATTTTTTAAACAAAATATTTTTTGATAAACTCAAAAACCTTCTAAATTTACAAAGATATCGTCAAATTTAAGTATTTTTGATAAAATGTGACGAAAAAAAAGTTGAAACTTTGGTGTCATCTGTGGTCAAAATGCGATCACCAATTTATAATTGTCTTTTACCAAATTATTAAGCAAACATTTCTTCACAAAATACTTTTTGTTTGACCAACAACTTTTCTAAATTAACAAAGATATTGTCACATTTAGACATATAAACATATATTTAACAAAAAAAGTTCCAACTTTAGGTCAAAATGCGATCACCAATTTACTCTTTTCTTTAACAAAATACTTTTTGTTTGACCCAAAAATCTTCTAAATTTACAAAGATATCGTCAAATTTAAAAGTATTTTTGATAAAATGTGACGAAAAAAAGGTCTAACTTTAGTGTCATCAGTGGTCAAAATGCGATCACCAATTTATGATTTTCTTTCGCCAAATTATCAAGCAAATATTCCTTCACAAAATACTTTTGTTTGACTCACAAATTTTCTAAATTAACAATGATATTGTCACATTTAGACATATATATTGAGTATTTTTAAGACTGTTTGAAATAAGTGGACATTGTAGACATTTTTCTCGTTGTCTCAGGTTCAGGAGAAGCTGGCACGAGTACCGAACCTGATCTCCTCGTTCTCGGACGATTCCGATCACCACAGCGCGAAAGAACCGGCGTCGACGACGGCGCCCTCTAGCGTTAGCCGGCGCGCCAAACGCGCCACGGAGCCGACGCCCTCCAGGGACGATAGCGACAGCGATTCGGTGCGCGTCGCCGCGAAAGCCACCGGCAAACCGACGGTTAAACCGGTCGCGCTCGCCAAACCGACCGTAGATTCGCTCAGCGATAGCGACAGCGAAGCGCCCAGGGCGCCGCTCAGCAGCAGCGGCGGCAAAAAGGCGCCCGCCCCGAAGCAAGCCAAGGTTGTTAAGCCGAAGTCCGGCAGGGGGCGCCCCAGGAAGAACAAGACGCCAAACAGTTCAGATACTGAAGTCAAGGTAAGTCTATTTTGTTTAAAACATATATTTAATAAAATGTGAGACGAATTTAAGTTGTAACTTCAGTGTCATCTGTGGTCAAAATGCGATCACCAATTTATGATTTTCTTTCAACAAATTATCAAGCAAACATTTCTTTACAAAATACTTTTTGTTCGAATTAAAAATCTTCTAAATTGACCAAGATATCGTCATATTAAAACATAAAGACAAACATAATGACGTATTTTATAAAATGTGAGACGAATTTAAAAGTTTTAACTTTAGTGTCATCTGTAGTCAAAATGCGATCACCAATTTATGATATATTTTATCTAGTTAACATTTCTTCACAGAATACTTTATGTTCGACTTCTAAATTAACAAAGATATCGTCACATTTAAACATATATTTAATAAAATGTGAGACAAACAAAAAAGTTGTAACTTTAGTGTCATCTGTGGTCGAAATGCGATCACCAATTTATGATTTTCTCTCAACAAATTATCAAGCGAACATTTCTTCACAAAATAATTTGTGTTTGACTCGAAAATTTTCTAAATTAACAAAGATATCGTCACATTTAAACAAACAAATATTTAATAAAATCTGAAACGTTAAAAAAAGCTGTAACTTCAGTGACATCTGTGACCAAAATGCGATCACCAATTTTAAATTTTCTTTCAACAAATTATCAAGCAAACATTTCTTCATAAAATACTTTGTTTGACTCGAAAATTTTTTAAATTAACAAAGATATCGTAGCATTTAAACATAAAGACATATTTTATAAAATGTGAGACGAAAAAAAAAGTTGTAACTTCAGTGTCATGTGGGGTCAAAATGCGATCACCAATTTATGATTTTCTTTCAACAAATTATCAACCAAACATTTCTTCACAAAATACTTTTTGTCCGACTCAAAACTCTTCTAAATTAACAAAGATATTGTCACATTTAAACATAAACATTAATTTAATAAAATGTGAGACGAACAAAAAAGTTGTAACTTCAGTGTCATCTGTGGTCGAAATGCGATCACCAATTTATGATTTTCTCTCAACAAATTATCAAGCGAACATTTCTTCACAAAATACTTTGTGTTTGACTCAAACATTTTCTAAATTAACATTTAAACAAATAAATATTTAATAAAATCTGAAACGTTAAAAAAAGCTGTAACTTCAGTGACATCTGTGACCAATATGCGATCACCAATTTAAAATTTTCTTTCAACAAATTATCAAGCAAACATTTCTTCATAAAATACTTTGTTTGACTCGAAAATTTTCTAAATTAACATATACATATATCGTCACATTTAAACATAAAGACACATTTTATAAAATGTGAGACGAAAAAAAAAGTTGTAACTTCAGTGTCATCTGTGGTCAAAATGCGATCACCAATTTATGATGATCTTTCAACAAATTATCAACCAAACATTTCTTCACAAAATACTTTTTGTTCGACTCAAAACTCTTCTAAATTATCAAAGATATCGTCACATTTAAACATAAAGACACATTTTATAAAATGTGAGACGAAAAAAAAGTTGTAACTTCAGTCTCATCTGTGGTCAAAATGCGATCACCAATTTATGATTTTCTTTCAACAAATTATCAAGCAAACATTTCTTCATAAATTACTTTGTTTGACTCGAAAATTTTCTAAATTAACAAAGATATCCCACATTTAAACATAAAGACACATTTTATAACATGTGAGACGAAAAAAAAAGTTCAGTGTCATCTGTGGTCAAAATGCGATCACCAATTTATGATTATCTTTCAACAAATTATCAACCAAACATTTCTTCACAAAATACTTTTTGTTCGACTCAAAACTCTTTTAAATTAACAAAGATATTGTCACATTTAAACATAAACATTAATTTAATAAAATGTGAGACGAAAAAAAAGTTGTAACTTCAGTGTCATTTGTGGTCAAAATTCGATCACCAATTTATGATTTTATCTCAACAAATTATCAAGGGAACATTTCTTCACAAAATACTTTGTGTTTGACTCGAAAATTTTCTAAATTAACAAAGATATCGTCACATTTAAACAAACAAATATTTAATAAAATCTGAAACGTTAAAAAAGCTGTAACTTCAGTGATATCTGTGACCAAAATGCGAGCACCAATTTATAATTTTCTTTCAACAAATTATCCAGCAAACATTTCTTCATAAAATACTTTATTGACTTGAAAATTATTATCAAAGATATCTTCTAAATTATCAAAGATATCGTCACATTTAAACATAAAGACACATTTTATAAAATGTGAGACGAAAAAAAAAGTTGTAACTTCAGTGTCATTTGTGGTCAAAATGCGATCACCAATTTATGATTTTCTTTGAACAAATTATCAACCAAACATTTCTTCACAAAATACTTTTTGTTCGACTCAAAATTCTTCTAAATTAACAAAGATACCGTCACATTTAAACATTAACATTTATTTAATAAAATGTGAGACGAAAAAAAAGTTGCAACTTCAGTGTCATCTGTAGTCAAAATTCGATCACCAATTTAAGATTTTCTTTCAACAAATTATCAAGCAAACATTTCTTCTCAAAATACTTTTTTCCCGACTCCAAAATCTTCTAAATCAACAAAGATATCGTCACATTTAAACATTAAAAGGTTTTAAACGAAGTTTCGACATTTTCTACCTACCAATAGATAATTTTCTTGCAGGTTAAGAGACGGGGTAGGCCTCCGAAAAACTCTCAGCTGTCCCCGGGGAGTCCGGGGGATAGGGAGGCGGTGCGCGCGAAGAAACGCGGGCGCCCGCCCAAAGCCGCGCACCGAGCGCCCTCCAGCAGCTCGGACGAGGAGGACTCGAAGTTCGAGAAACCCGTGCCGCCCAGGCGCAGGACGAAATCCAAGCTGCAAACCTCGTCGAGTTCCGACTCGGACAGTCCGGTGAGGAGGAGGAAGAGCGTCAGCAGTCGCAGGTCCTCGGATAGAGAGAGTCCTAAGAAGAAGCGGGCGGAGGATAAGGTTTGTGGAAAAATTCCATCAAAATGTTTTGAGATTTGACGCCCTTTTCAGGTTAAGAAGGGTAAGAACGCGAAGAACAGGAGTTCGGATAGAGAGTTGGACTACAAGAGGAAAAAGGAGACGTCCGTGTCGCCTTACAAGCGTAAGGGTATAAGCGCGGAAACGTTGCCGACGACCACGGACAGTGACGACAGTGATGTGCCTCAAAAGAAACGCAACGTGAGTTCGTCGGACTCGGACGCACCGCCGAAACGCGACGACAGTTCGGACAGTGACGCGCAGACGCCGAACAAGGACGATAAAAGCGTGGAGTCGGTGCAGGACAAGAACAAGTTCGTAGCTTTACGGAACCTGTTCACTCCCAAGCGGGACGCGGAGGGGGGCAAAGGTGGCGGCAAAGGCGGCGGCAAGGGCGGCAAAGGTAAGATTTGCTTCTTCTTTTCCATTTATTTTTATACAGATGCCTATTTTTAAGAAATATTAAAACATAAACAAAGTTTTAACTTTGGTGTCATCTGTGGTTAAAATTCGATCACCAATTTTTTATTTTCTTTCACCGAATTATCAAGCAAACATTTTTTGACAAAATACTTTTTGTTTGCCTCAAAAATCTTCTAAATTAACAAAGATATCGTCATATTTAAACATATAACCATTTTCTAATAAAATATAATACGATAAAAATTTATAACTTTAATGTCATCTGTGGTCAAAATACGATCACCAATTTATGATTTTCTTTCACCAAATTATAAAGCAACGTTTCTTGACAAAATAGCTATCGATGCAAAAAGGTGTCATGTCATCTATTTTCAAAATGCGATCACCATTTTATAATTTTCTTTCACCAGATTATTAAGCAAACATTTCTTGACAAAATACTTTTTGTTTGACTCAACAACCTTCTAAATTTAAAAAAATATCATCATTTTTGTAAGCAAAAATGGTAAATATCTCAAAACTTCTTCTAAATTAACAAAGATACGTCATATTTAAACATGTCAATGTTAATCATTTCCAGAATATACTTTATTGTGAATTAAAGCTTTCGATGTAAAAAGGTTTTAAACCACAAATTAAACATAAATCGTTTTAACTTTGGTGTCATCTGTTGTTAAAATACGATCACCATTTTATAATTTTCTTTTACCAAATTAATAAGCAAACATTTCTACAAAAAATACTTTTTGTTTGACTTAATTACCTTCCAAATTAACAAAGATATCATCATATTTAAACATATTAACATAAAATGTATCAAGAAAAAAGTTGTAACTTTAGTGTCATCTGTGGTCAAAACACGATCACCAATTTTTTATTTTCTTTCACAAATTTATGAAGCAAACATTTCTTGACAAAATACTTTTTGTTCGACTCAAAAACCTTCTAAATTTAAAAAGATATCATCATTTCTGTAAACAAAATGGTAAATATCTCAAAAACTATCCCAGACAAAATGATTTTAACGTTCTATAAACGAAATATTTTATATTTGTTGCTCAAAAGTGTCATTCATAATGAAATTAATCTCATATTTCACCCATTAATTTCATCCTTCATCTACAATATACTTTTCTGAAGCTTAAAAAATGTTTTTTTTACATCTGTAGGAAAGGGCGGTGTGGACGTTATAATCGTGGACGGCGATTACGAACGAAGTTCGTCGTCGGTGGAAGACGAAGCGATGCCCGTCACCACGAATCCCGCCCTTTTATCGCCCATTAAAAAGGAGACGCCGCCCCCGCAACCGAACCCCTTCAAAACCGCGAAAACAAAGACTGAATTTATTGGCGACGACTCGGGCGGCAAGGTGATGGTGAAAGTCGATCTGAACAGGCTGGACCTGGTCAGGATACCCGCCTTGAGGCGGCATCTAGAACGCGTCCAGCACCACACTGTCGTCATGCAGATGGAGGGCGCCAAGGAGAAGATCAAGGCCGATCTTTTCGGTAGCAGTAACACCGACAAACTAGGTAAGATATATTTATATACTTGTGTCAATTTTTTTTAATCCCTTTTTTTTTATAGACTTGGAGAGTGGGGATGCCAAGGAGAAACTGTCCCTCTCCAAGGAGGATTCGTCGACGAAAAAGCCGGTGAAACCGGAAAAGGAACACAAACACAAGTCCAAGAAGCGGAAACGCCGCAACAGCGGAAGTTCGATGTGTTCGCAGGCGAGCAGCGCCTCTCTACAAACGGCCACCAAGAAAAAGGAGCACAAAAAGGACAAGGAGGGCAAGGAGAATCACAAATCCAAAAGGCGGAAAGATGAATCTTCAGAAAATAACCCCAGGTAAAGAAATTTTACCATTTATTTCATTCGTTCATATTATTTAAGAAAAATCAAGTAAATAAAATTTGTTATGATTATTATCACCAATTTATGATTTTCTTTCTCCAAATTGTCAAGCAAACATTTCTTCACAAATTAGTTTTCGATGGACTCAAAAATCTTCTAAATTAACAAAGATATCGTAAAATTTAACCATATAACCATATAAAATGTGACGATTAAAAAGGTTTAACTTTTGTGTCATCTGTGTTTAAAATGCGATCACCAATTTATGATTTTCTTTCAACAAATTATTAAGCAAACATTTCTTCACAAAATACTTTTTGTTCGACTCAAAAACCTTCTAAATTAAAAAAGATATCATCATTGCAAGCAAAAATTTCAATATTTCTCCGTTGCCAGATCTCATTTGACCGGTAATAATCTCAACTTGCAAGCGAAAAATCTTCTAAATTAACAAAGATTTCGTAAAATTTAATCCTATAAAATGTGACGATTAAAAAGGTTTAACTTTTGTGTCATCTGTGTTTAAAATGCGATCACCAATGTATGATTTTCTTTCAACAAATTATCAAGCAAACATTTCTTCACAAAATACTTTTTGTTTGACTCAAAAATATTCTAAATTAACAAAGATATCGTCACTTTTAAACATAAACACATATTTAATCAAATTTCAGACGAAAAAAAATGTTTTAACTTCAGTGTCATCTGTGGTCAAAATGCGATCACCAATTTATGAGTTTCTTTCAACAAATTATTAAGCAAACATTTCTCCACAAAATACTTTTTGTTCGACTCAAAAACCTTCTAAATTAAAAAAGATATCATCATTTTTGTAAGCAATATTTTTCCGTTGCCAGATCTCATTTGACCGGTGATAATCTCAACTTGCAAGCGATGCCGCCGACGAACCACGAGCGGGAACCGGTCGAAAGCCGGCTGTCCGGCGGCGGCGGACAGCCGTCGTCCCTGACGTCGGCGTCGGCCAACGACGTCATGAAACCGAGCCGGTCCCAGTCGAATCGCGAGTACCACTCGTACTTTGACGTCGTCGAGGAAACAACCGAGTACGACGAAAGGTAAGAAAAATATTTAAGTTATATTATAATCGACAATCATTTTCAAATTTTTTTCCAATTTTTAAATCTATTTTTAGTTGAGTGGTCGTTATTTTATTAATTTTTGTTTTAAGTGTTTTTTCCCCTCTCTTTGTTCTCTGGTTTAGTTGTTATTGTAGTGATTTTTTGCATGTTTTTGTTCATGCTCGCGAAGTTTTATAGTTTTTTGTTTCAAAAGAATTATAATTCGAGTTTATTTTACCTTGCAGTTCATTAATAATAACTTGCAGCAATCTGAAATGGGCCATTTTCTCTGTCTATCTCTGATAGAAAGGTGTATATTTTTGTAATTTTTGTACCAAACAAAAAAGGATTTTGTCCGCGTTGTTATTTACATTTGTTGGTATTTTTAGGGACCAGAATCAGTACCTGAGCGATGCGAAAAGGCTTAAACACCTCGCCGACAAAGAGACTGACCCCATAAAACAATGCCTACTTTATTTGGAAGCAGTGCTGTTTTTCCTGCTGACGGGGAACGCGATGGAGCACGAAAGTGTCACCAAAAAAGCGGCATTTACCATGTACAAAGATACTCTTAGTTTAATAAAGTAAGTACACCTATAATTTTTACTTTTGTTATATTTAATGTTCTCTTCTAGATTTTAAGCTTTTGAACTGTGTTTGAGGATTGTTAGTGTCTCTTAATACTAGAGAAATCCTTAAACAGGGTTTATTATTTCTAAAAATGCAGTTTAATTAATGTTGTTTTCATTTCTTTTAGATATCTGTCGGCAAACTTTAGGAATCAGCAAAACGTTTCGCCTGTGCACAACAAACTGGCCGTTTTAAGGTTTGTTTTCGAAGAAAAAAACGTTATTTTATTTATTTTTCCGTAAATTTTGCAGTTACCGGTGTCAAGCTTTGCTGTACAGCAAATTGTTTAAAATGAGGAAAGTTGAAGCTAAGGACATACAGAAAACTCTGTCTGATTACTGTTCTAAGGTAAGAAAACATGTTTTTATGCATATAATACACATTTTTTCTTGCATTTTATTAAAAACATTTTATTTTAAATGTTAAAACCACAACTACAAATTTCAAAAATATATTTTTGAGCGTCAAAAAATCATAAAAAGATCTTAAAACTTAATTTTAGAAATGCCAAATCCACATTCAATAATGTAGAATAATCTACTGGACTTTTTTTAGGTATTTACAATATATTCAAAAAATAATAAAAAGATCTTCAAAATAAATTTTAGAAATGCCAAATCCACATTCAATAATGTTGATTATTCTATATTATTAAATGTGTATTTGGCATTTTTAAAATTTGTTTTTACGTTCGTTTTATGATTTTTTTGACGTTTAAAAATGTATTTTTGGACTTTTTTTTAGGTATTCACACATTTTATTTAAAATGTTAAAACCACAATTTAGAATTTCGAAAATACATTTTTGAACGTCAAAAAATCATCGTAAAACAAGTTTTAGAAATGCCAAATCCACATTCAATAATGTAGATAATCTACTGGACTTTTTTTTAGGTATTCTCACATTTTATTTAAAATGTTAAAACCACAATTTCAAATTTCAAAAATACATTTTTGAACGTCAAAAAATCATAAAAAGATCTTCAAAATAAATTTTAGAAATGCCAAATCCACATTCAATAATGTTGATTATTCTATTTTATTAAATGTGGATTTGGCATTTTAAAAAATTGTTTTAACGATCGTTTTATGATTATTATGACATTTAAAAATGTATTTTTGAACTTTTTTAGGTATTCACACATTTTATTTAAAATGTTAAAACCACAATTTAGAATCTTAAAAATACATTTTTAACGTCAAAAAATCATAAAAAGACCGTAAAACAAATTTAGAAATGCCAAATTCACATTCAATCATGTAGAATTTCAAAAATACCATGGCTCCCACACCTCCTAAAATTTATAAAATTCCTAAAATTTGGCTTAAATCTTAAAAACTCCTAAAATTCTCCTAAAATTGCCATAAATCTAAAACTCCTAAAAAGTAGGCCAACTAAGGTAGTTGTGCTAAAAAATTTCTTTTTTAAAAAGTAATTTAAAAAATATACATTTTTGGGTTCTAGTTTATTAAATTCTTTTTAAAATGATATATATATATTATGTATCACAACCTACATTTTTCTTAAAAAACAACAAAATATACCATAAAACAAAATCCATGTAGTAGCTTCTAGACTTCTACAAAATTGTCATTTTTAGAAATATTTCGTTAATTTTCGACAAAAATATACCGTGTTATATATCAAACAAAAGGATTTTTAATTTTCTTTTAAATGATAGCTAAAATAGTAAACAATCTAAAGAACGTTTTGCTGTACATGCACTTTATATTTGTTCTATTATGAGATTTTTTAGTAACAATAACATTACAATTATTGTTAGTTATTAACTAAACTGTTAAATTTTTTTTCAAAATATAAATATAACATCATTAAACTTTGGCCTACTTTTTTAGCCATATCTATCGACGCTTTTTTTTTAATAAAATTAAAAATGTGGTGAAATTTCTACTTGTAGATATATACAAAAGTAGTAATTTTACCTCACTTTTCATTTTATTAAAAAAAAACTCGAGCGATTTGCACGGAGAGAAATGTATAGTAAATTTTAGATAGTTAAAAAAATATATTAAAATTTACTTTAAAAAATGTTTAGTTTAACAATATTAAATATTCGTCAGTAAAATATAAACATTGTAATACGAAATAGTATTTTTTATTATACAATTTTAGTAAAGATTACAACACCAATATTATTAGATCAAAAATGTATAATACGTATTTTAATTTTGAATATATTCGTATAGTAAATTGATTTTACTATCTACAAATAGTAATATTTACTATATGATTTAATTAAATGTATTATACAAAATAATAAAATACACTATTAAGTTTATTATATTTATTTTTAAAATTTACTATCTAATTATAATAAGAATTAAAAACAAAATTGGTTGAGAATAATAACCTTAAGGTTTAATATACAGGGATATTTAAAAATTACTAAATATGCATAGTAACTGGCAATATACAAGATAGTTGTCCCAAATAGTAATATATAATATAGTAAAGGGTATTATAATTATGGTAATCAGTAATATACTTTTCTCTCCGTGTGGCTAAAAAACTAGTCAATATAACCTATTTGTACAAAAGAAGTGATATTTATTTATATTTTTGTTAAAAAGAATTACATATTTTTTTCTTATTTTTTAAGTATAGTGTAGAGTTGTTTTTATTCATTTGCATATACAAGATAGTTGTCCCAAATAGTAATATATAATATAGTAAAGGGTATTATAATTATGGTAATCAGTAATATACTTTTCTCTCCGTGTGGCTAAAAAACTAGTCAATATAACCTATTTGTACAAAAGAAGTGATATTTATTTATATTTTTGTTAAAAAGAATAACATATTTTTTTCTTATTTTTTAAGTATAGTGTAGAGTTGTTTTTATTCATTTGCATACTTTTTTCTCCTAAAATTCTCCAAAAAACCTCCTAAATTCCTAAATAAAATTTGTAATTTAACCGTGGGAGCCCTGAAATACATTTTTGACCGTCAAAAAAATCAAAAATGTATTTTGGGCCTTGTTTAATTTAACGTCGTTGCAATAAAAAACGCACACGTCTGAATTCGGTGACTTGTTTGTGTCAGAACGCGTCGATGGGGGCGCAGGAGCAGGCCGGCGGCAACCAGGGGCAGGGCACGCCGTCCCCGCTGTCGCCCACCCCCTCGCCCGCCAGCTCGGTGGGCAGCCAGTCGTCGGGCTACAGCTCGTCGGAGGTGGCGGCGCAGCAGCGCTCGGGCGTCTGGATCCCGCTGCCGGTGCACGGCGCCATGACCAAGCAGAACCAGCTCTTCACCTATCTCGTCTCCTACACCGAGCTGTGGGAGATGGCCGACCAGCTCGTCTTCAAAGGCCAACACGCCGGTAAGTTTTTGAGTTAAAAACACATTTTATATTGAAATAACACAATTTAGAATCTCTTAAAAGGTTCAAACATAATTTACAGTATTTTCATTTAACAGACGGACTAAAATTAATACTATCGCGCCGTGATATTTGAAAACAAAAACATAGAACAGGGCCGTATTTAAAGATTAATATATTTATTTGACGAAATATTTGTTCTTTACATGTTGAACGCACTTTTCCCACCCCTCTGCTGTTATTCTTCGAATTGCTTCATTTAAAAGTTTTTTGGGATCAGAAAATTTAATAGTTGCATTAATTTATGCTTCATCCTGATGATTTTACCTTAGAAACAAAGAATCAAAAGTAAAATAAATTATTTTAAAATAATTTTAATTTTTTCAAATTTTCCATTAACAAAATGTTTACAGGAAGGAACTCCAAAAACAATTTTTTAATATTGATAGTCTTCCTCTTTGTGAAGATAAAACCCCTCTAATAGACCATACATTTCATCCATGCTATCTACTTTGTATATTTGGAAAAAGCTACTCCTGATTTTAACATGTATAATTTTAAAGTAATTAAAATTTTTGCACATTTTTCAACGACAAAATGCGTACGGTACTCCAAAAACGATTTTTTAATATTTTATTGACAGCTTCCTCTATGGGAAGATAAAACCCCTCTAATAGATCATACATTTTCTCTATGCTATCTACTTTATATATTTGGAAAAAGATAATACTGATTTTTTCATAAAAGATGGTAGAAGCAAAATGTATTATTTTAATGTAATTCAAATTTTCCATCAGCAAAATGGGTACAGGAGCTCCAAAACGATTTTTTAAATATTTTATTGTTTATCTTCCTCTTTGGGAAGGTAAAACACCATACATTTCATCTATGCTATCGACTTTGTATATTTGGAAAAAGCTTCTCCTGGTTTTTCAAAAATAGATAGTATAGGCAAAGTATATGCTTCATCCTGATGATTTTACCTTAAGAACAAAGAGAATCATAAATAAAATATATTATTTTAAGGTAATTTTAATTTTTTTAAATTTTCCATCAACAAAACAAATTTTTTTAATATTTTATTGATGGTCTTCCTCTTTGGGAAGATAAAACCCCTCTAATAGACCATACATTTCATCTATGCCATCTACTTTGTATATTTAAAAAAAGCTACACCTGATTTTTCAAAAAAAGATAGTTTAGACTATATCCTGATGATTTTGCATTAAAAACAAAGAGAATCATAAATAAAATGTATTATTTTAAAGTAATTTAAATTTTTTCAATTTTTCCATCAATAAAATGGGTACATAGTCTCCAAAAACGAATTTTTAAATATTTCATTGATGGTCTTCCTCTTTGGGAAGGTAAAGCCCTTCTTATAGACCATACATTCCATCTAAGCTATCTACTTTGTATATTTTAAAAAAGCTACTCCTGATTTAAAAAAGATAGTTTAGACTTCATCCTGATGATTGAAAAACAAAGAGAATCATAAATAAAATGTAATTTTATTTTTTTCAAATTTTCCATCAACAAAATGGGTACAGGAACTCCAAAAACAATTTTTTAATATTTTATTGATGGTCTTCCTCTCTGGGAAGATAAAACCCCTCTAATAGACCATACATTTCATCTATGCTATCTACTTTGTATATTTGGAAAAAGCTACTCCTGATTTTTCAAAGAGAGATAGTATAGATAAAATGTGTGCTTCATCCTAATGATTTTGCCTTATAAACAAAGAGAATCATAAATAACATGTATAATTTTAAAGTAATATATTTTTTGCACATTTTTCAACGACAAAATGCGTACAGTACTCCAAAAACGATTTTTTAATATTTTATTAATGGTCTTCCTCTCTGGGAAGGTAAACCGCTTCTCATAGATCATACATTTCCTCTATGCTATCTACTTTGTATATTTGGAAAAAGCTTCTCCTGATTTTTCAAAAATAGATAGTATAGGCAAAATGTATGCTTCATCCTAATGATTTTACCTTAGAAACAGAGAAGCATAAATAAAATATATTATTTTAATTTTTTCAAATTTTCCATCAATGTTAACAGGAACTCCAAAAACAACTTTTTAATATTTTATTGATGGTCTTCCTCTTTGAGAAGATAAAACCCCTCTAATAGACCATAAATTTCATCTATGCTATCTACTTTGAATATTTGGAAAAAGCTTCTCCTGATTTTTAAAAAAAAGTTATCATAGAGAAAATTTATGGTTAATTCTGATTATTTTACCTTAAAAACAAATAAAATTATAAATAAAATATTAAAGTAATTGAAATTTTTTCAAATTTATCAACAACAAAATGAGTACAGTAACTCCAAAAATGATTTTTATTGATTTTATTATTGGTCTTCCTCTTTTCGAAGGTAAAACCCTTCTAATGGACCATGCATTTTATATATGCCATCTACTTTGTATATTTGGAAAAAGCTACTCCTGATTTTTCAAAAATAGATAGTATAGGCAAAATGTATGCTTCATCCTGATGATTTTACCTTAGAAACAAAGAATCATAAATAAAATTGTTTACAGGAATTCCAAAAACAATTTTTTAATATTTTATTGATAGTCTTCCTCTTTGGGAAGATAAAACCCCTCTAATAGACCATACATTTCATCTATGCTATCTACTTTGTATATTTGGAAAAAGCTACTCCTGATTTTTCAATGAGAGATAGTATAGACAAAATGTATGCTTCATTCTAATGATTTTACCTTATAAACAAAGAGAGTAATAAATAACATGTATATTTTTAAAGTAATTTAAATTTTTGCACATTTTTCAAAACAAAATGCGTACAGTACTATAAAAACTATTTTTTAATATTTTATTAATGGTCTTCCTCTTTGGGAAGGTAAAACGCTTCTCATAGATCACACATTTCCTCTATGCTATCTACTTTGTATATTTGGAAAAAGCTAAGACTGATTTTTCATAAAAGATGGTATAAGCAAAATGATGATGATTTTACCTTAATAATAAATGATGATTTTACTTTAATAATAAAGAGATAAAGATTTTATCTTAATAATAAAGAGAATCATACATAAAATGTATTATTTTAATGTAATTCAAATTTTCCATCAGAAAAATGGGTACAGGAACTCCAAAACGATGTTTTAAATATTTTATTGTTGTTCTTCCTTTTTGGTAAGGTAAAACCCATCTAATACACCATACATTTTATCTATGCTATCTACTTTGAATATTTGAAAAAAGCTACTCCTGATTTTTCAAAAATAGATAGTATAGGTAAAACGTATGCTTTAGTCCGTCTGTTTTAAAATCTTTGGGGTCATTTTTTGAAGCTTAATAATATTAATAATAAATGTAAGGTAAGTTTGTTATATATTTTTTTTCTTTTAGATTTTTTTATCGAACTGGACAGACAGTGCAAACCTCTGACGTTACACAGTTCCCTGATCGATTTAGTGCGATACGTGCGCGAGGGAATCAACCGGCTCAAGAAGGAGCGCTAACGTCCGCCCCCCTCCACAAAACAATGGATTCCTTCTCTCGTCAGGCAACACACACACACACACTGTAAATAGACCACTAGTAAAAAAAAAGTTATTGAATTAAATAAATTGTATGCCAAAGAAACAAATATTTAAAAGGAAAAAATACTACTACTAACAAGTACCAAGTCAATTTACGTCAATGGGAACCAGCATGTGTAACTTGGAACACTTTTTACATTATAACTTTATAGAGATAATATTATATTTATGATACCTACGCTAGTTTAGAGACTTTTACCTAGATGATGGGTTTTAGAGTTGTTTTTAAAATACGCCGATAAATCGCCACACACCAAAAATTACGGCACATTTCGGCGCTTATATTAGATTATTAATAATTATTAATAACATATAAAACGGTTGCCAGAGGTTTTCGATGGGGAGCCACCGAAATTGTCCCAAACATCTCGCAATTTTTATAACTGCCATTGATAGTTGCCTATAATAATTATCAAATTATGCGAACTTCAATCAGGGAACCGGCAATACAAAGCATTCATTTAAACGTATTTTTATAAAATTTTCGCTAAGCTGCTACTCAGTAAGCCGCACATACAGAGTGTTTAGGAGAGAATCCACAATACTTTGAAAATGTAAATGATAATCAACAGATTTAATAGTATTTAGCTGTGCACCAAAGTGCTTCAAGGGAAACATTTAGTGCCTAATACGACTATTTTCGCTTTATACATAGATAGAGGGTGGTTTTGATGTTTTGGACAATTTTTGGCCCCCTGATCTGGCAGCCAAACTAAGTATTTGTGATCCAATAATTTTTGAGTTTCTAGTTAATGACTTAGGGTGCAGTACTATAAGTAATATTTTTACATTAAATAGTAAAATTCCAATTGTATATTTTTGTGTAAATACTGTACGCTAAAATTATTATATATATTTATGACAATGCTGCAAAATATAGGAGAAATATAATTAATTACCTAATGGCCTAGCGAATCAAATTCAGAGTTGTGGGTGGCTAATTTATTTAAAATAAAAATAATATTTAAATATTAAATAAATGAGAAGTGGTCATTGTTATTTTTGCATATATTATATATTTTAGAGATTATTTGGGCGAAATGCTGTCCTCCAGCCCAGGAAGAGCTCTATCCTCAAAACTTGATGCAAATTGTACAACCAACAATTCCACACTATTTAGTTATTGCTGTTTTTAGCCTATTATTTATTTATTAATCTTTATATACACTTTATCATAATTTCACCACAATAGCATCAGCAATAATATAAACAAACAATATTTTAGTGACATATCAACTCATGAAACCATATATTAAATTTACTTACTTTTAAAGTCATATACACTTTTTATTATATTTGGAAATTGCTTTATCCTGATAATTTTACCTTGAAAACAAAGAGAATTATATTTTTTCAAATTCATCAAAAAATGGGTACAGAAACGACTTTTTTAATGTTTATTGATGGTCTTCTTATTTTGGAAGGTAAAACCCTTCTAATAGACCATAAATTTCATCTATGCTATCTACTTTGAATATTTGGAAAAAGCTACTCCTGATTTTTTTAAAAAGATAGCTTAGACAAATGTACGCTTTTTACATTATAAACAAACATTATCATTAAAAATGTATTATTTCATAGTAATTTAAATTTTTTCAACATTTCTATCAACAAAATGAGTAGAGGAACTCCAAAAACGATTTTTTAAATATTTTATTGATTGTCTTCCTCTTTGAGAAGGTAAAACCCTTCTAATAGGCCATACATTTAATCTATGCTATCTACTTTGTATATTTAGAAAAAGCTACATCTGATTTTTCAAAAAAAGATAGTATAGATAAACTGTACTCTTTATCCTGATGATTTTACTTTAAATACAAAGAGAATCATAAATACAATGTATTATTTTAAAGAACTTAAAATTTTTTCAAATTTTTTATCAACAAAGGAGTACAGAAACTCCAAAAAACGACTTTTGTATATGTTATCTACTTTGTATATTTGGAGCTACTTCTGATTTTTCAAAAAATATAGTATAGGCAAAATGTATGTCTAAAAACAAAGATAATCATAAAAAATGTATTAGTTTAAAGTAATTTAAATTTTTTCAAATTTTCCATTAACAAAATGAGTACAGAAACTCCAAATTCTATTTTTTAAATGTTTTATTGATGGTCTTCCTCTTTGGGAAGATAAAATCCTTCTTATAGACCATACATTTCATCTATGCTATCAACATTGTAATTTCGAAAAAAGCAACTCCTACTTCTTCAAAAAAGATAGTTTAGAGAAAATGTATGGTTCCTACTGATAATTTTGACTTAAAAACCAAAAGAATCATAAATAAAATGTATCATATCAAAAAAAATTAAATTTTTCAGCAAAATGAGTACAGGAACTCCAAAAACGTTTTATTAATATTTTATTGATGGTCTTCCTCTTTGAGAAGATAAATCCCTTCTAATAGACCATACATTTCATCTATGCTATCTACTTTGTATATTTGGAAAAAGTTAATTCTGATTTTTCAAAAAAAGATAGTACAGACAAAATGTACACTTTATCCTGATGATTTTACATTATAAACAAAGATAAACTATAATATTTCAAAGTAATTTACATTTTGTCAAATTTTTTATTAACAAAATGGGTAAAGGAACTCCAAAAACAATTATTTAAATATTTTATTGATGGTCTTCCTCTTTGAGAAGATGAAACCCTTCCAATAGACCTTACATTTCATCTATGCTATCTACTTTGTATATTTGGAAAAAGCTACTCCTGATTCTCCAAAAAAGCTTAGAGCCAAATTTATGCTTCATAATTTCACCTTAAAAACCAAGCAATATTGATCTCTGATAAAGTTGAAATATTTTTGTGTGAATTGTGGTTTTGTAGATAAAATATTGTGCCTGAAAGTCAGTGTACAGTTTGCATTTTGAGTTTGCCTGTACATTTATATATTGCTGTATTCCGGGCACGTCGCAAGGGGGACGGCACGAGCCGCTGTGTGCATATGTATATCTTGTACATTTTTAGATTTATTATTTAATTTTTTAATCGATAAGTTGTTTTCCATTAAGGTCATTTATATAAGACAAAAATCTTGAATTGAATCGTCAATATTATTATTATATTTGTTATTTACTTTAATTTATTATTTTTTGAATAATGCCTGCGAAATATTTTTTGTTGATCGATTATCTTCCTTAGCGTCACCAAACCATAAACGAGTAAAACACAAATCAATCAAAGGGAATTTTAATCAAAAAAATTGTAATGGTTGGCCAATTAAACTTAATTAATTAATACCAAATTATTTTTGGTAATTTATGCATACATGTATTGTGAAATTTACTCAATTGTGTTGGACAAGTTTGGTTACAAACTTAATTTCTGCACACTTTGTTTTTGGTGCTATAACTTATTATTATTCCTTATTTATTATCCTTACTATCAAATTTGGAATGTATATTTTTGCATCAGTGCTGATGATGTTATAAAAAGTATTATTTTTGCGGCAAGTATTTTGCAGGCAAATATTTTTTAACAAACACATCACATTTAGGCTGCTAGGAGGGACCAAATGGATTAATCTCTGAGTGTGTATACGATTGGCATTAAAAAGTTACTGAATTATTTTTTTTGTATGATATTACGATTACGATTTGTCCAATTTTTTTACACTATTGTTATTGCATTTCAGTTTGTTTTTCTGTAATATAAAATATACATATCGACTGACAAATTGTTTTTCTGTTTGAAATATATTAATTTATTTTATATTTATTTTGTTTTATTTCTTTTTTATGCTTTAGCGAAATTGTAACCAAACTTGGTCAGTTGATGAAGGAAATTTAATGAAATTTGCAAATCAAAGTGACCTTGACTAGATCCTACTAATAATTACCCACTAACAGTACCTTGTACATATTTTTTATTATACAGACTAAATATTGACAGATATACTTTTGTGAGGTGATGTATGTAACAAAAAGGACCTAATTTTCTTTCAAATATAATTATATCAGCTATACAACTGCCTTTTTTATTGTATTAACACACCCTTCCATGACACGCCATTTTAGCATTTATTAGATAATAGTTGATTTTTAAAAACCAATGTTAAACTTTTTCATTTGTATTTTATATTTAAAATATTTGTTCATTATCACTTTTTTTGGGTTAAAAAAAATTAACATTAATTTTGGTGGAAAAGTTAAAAATAATTTTATTAAATATTTATTTAAGATTTACAAAATTCTGCCCAAATAAATTATACCTACCTTCTTGAGAAATTATTTTTATAAAAAATAATAGAAATTTTTGCAAAAATTGATATTGGAAATAAAATTATAACAGAAGTAAACTGTTGGGTCTTTTAATATATGTTGGAATTGAAATTAAAAATTATTTAATACGTGTTAAAACGGCGTGCTTCCCCAATAAATTGAAATCTCCAATAAATTATTATTAATTAATGCCTGGTTTATGCAGACTTAAAACTTAAGACTTAACATTTAACAATTAAGAAGTTAAAAGTTAGGATATTTCATTGATTTCCTTTAAGGTCGTTTATGCACCATTTAAGACTTGAAAGATAATAAACTTTTATTTTTCTTAAGTCTTAATTTTTAATTCTTAAATGAAATCGCATTTGCGCAAGCGTTAACTAGGGAATTTTAAATTTAAACTGTTTCTTTTTCTATGGTTGTAATTGAAAATTTAAAAATTCGTGTTTCATGTTTTTCTTGAAATTACTGTGCTAAAATGATAGATAGTTTGGATCCATTTTAGATTAAACTAGTAAACACAGATTATAAAAAACGTTGATAAACAAAAATATACGCATTCGCAAAACACAACGGTAAAATTTCAATGTTAATTGTCATTTTAATGTTGGTAGTACCAACTTGATACCACGTGATATTTTTATCGATTTTGATTGGTTACTCCTTAAGTTTTAAGTCTTAAGATAAATGCTGCATGAACGTCACAAAATTTTCGCTTAATTTTTAATTCTTAAGTCTTAAATATTAAGTTTTAAGTCTTAAGTCTGCATAAACCCACCTTAAGAGTTAAATTAAAGCATATTTTAACTTTCCCTCGTATATTATAAAAACTTTATTTTTTCGTTACTAGATGGCGTTATTAACAAGATGACAGCGCCATCTAGTAACGAAAAGTTGAAGTTGTACGCAGCGATCATTTTGCGCATGTGCAAATTGATCACGTGACCCCAAGCGCGTATAAGTCAGAAAAAAGTCGACTTCCTTTCTTTCTTTCGTTGACAACGTTTCAAGAAGGATCAAAACGTAAGTAGCTCCTGATTTATTTGTATTATTTCGGTTAAATTCGTTTAATGTTAGTTTGTTGTGATGTTTTATTATTTAACAGTTAATTTGAATAGTTTTTGTTGCTGATTATTAGTTGTTCGCCGTTGTAATTCGTAATTTATTAGTTCGAAACACGTGCTTTCCAAAATGGCGCCTGACTTTCAATTTTCCGCAGTATGGCGGACGCAGCTCCAGCCAGTGGACGTGGCGGATTCCGCGGAGGATTCGGCGGCGGCGGCGGCGGTAGGGGAGGCCGTGGGGGCCCGCGTGGTCGCGGCAGAGGCCGTGGACGTGGTCGCGGACGCGGAAAGGAGGACTCCAAAGAGTGGGTCCCGGTAACCAAGCTGGGCCGTCTGGTCAGGGACGGAAAAATCCGCTCCCTCGAGGAGATCTACCTCTTCTCCCTGCCCATCAAAGAGTTCGAAATCATCGACTTCTTCATCGGCTCCGACCTCAACGATGAGGTAAGTTTTTCGCTAAAAAAAGTGTGCTGTGGATTACGCTGTGTTTTGATTGGTTTGTGGCAAATTTCAAATAACAATCGACCAATTAATACGCAGTACGTTCCTAAGCAACAAAACTCAATAATCATGATGAATAACCCTATTCTTTCGCGGTTTCCACCAGAAAGATTCGTCTTAATGATGGCCTAAGAATTCTGACCACATTTAAACCCCTTTATACGCTTAAAACACCACTTGAAATGCACTACAAACACAACATTTCCTTTTAGGTGCTGAAGATCATGCCGGTGCAGAAACAAACGCGTGCCGGTCAACGTACGCGTTTCAAGGCCTTTGTAGCCATCGGTGACAGCAAAGGTCACATTGGTTTGGGGGTTAAGTGCAGCAAGGAAGTGGCCACAGCCATCCGTGGTGCCATTATCTTGGCCAAACTTTCCGTTGTGCCGGTGCGTAGAGGATACTGGGGTAACAAGATTGGTCAACCTCACACCGTGCCATGCAAGGTAAGAGTTTTAGGAGAAAATACCTCTGATTTGAAAATTTTATCGTGATGAATAACCTATTCTTTCGCGGTTTCCACCAGAAAGACTCGTCTTAATGATGGCCTAAGAATACTGATTTTCTTTAGAATCAAAACTCATAGTTCTGTCGCACGAACGTTTTTTGAGGTTATGTTTTTGTTCCGTAGGTGACTGGTAAGTGCGGTTCCGTGACGGTGCGCCTTATCCCGGCCCCGCGCGGTACCGGCATTGTGTCCGCCCCTGTACCGAAAAAACTGCTGCAGATGGCTGGTATCGAGGATTGTTACACTTCGGCCAGGGGTTCCACTGGTACATTGGGTAACTTTGCCAAGGCCACCTACGCGGCCATTGGTAAGACGTACGCCTACTTGACCCCCGACTTGTGGAAGGAGATGCCGTTGAGCAAGACCCCTTACCAGGAGTTTAGCGAGTACCTGGTCAAAAACCATCGCCCCGCTCTTAATCCTCACGCTGAAAACGCCGTTTAGGTTTTTTTATTGTGATTTGATTTTAAGTTCAAAATAAAAAATATAAAACATTATAAAGATGAGTTTTATTTATTTTATTTAATCGTTTGCCAAGCCAACTAATAAGAAAAAATATTTAGTTCTATAAAACTAGTTTTTCAAATAAAATTTTTTATAAAATTTAACTTGAATATTTTTAGAAAAGTACGTTAAAAAACAAAAAATTAGTAAATTTTCAAAAAAGTAATGAGCATTTGACAAAAATACCCATTTTTTTAAATTTCAGTTTGGTAATAAAAATATTTACTTTTTGTTTTTTATATTTGTTGATGCCATCAGATGGTTGCCTGTAATAAAAATAAAACAAATGAGTAAGAATTTTTTTTAGAAATTCCCTTGATCTGGTATTTTTTAGAAATCTTGCAACATTGCATTGTATCAGGAGCCATACCTCCTCGCTTTTCTGCGATCCTAATACGAAATCCGAAATATCGCAAATTTTACCAAATGGTTAAAAATTTTAAGAAATTACCTTGATCTGGTATTTTTAAGAAATCTTGCAATGTATCAGGAGCTTTACCTCCTCGCTTTTCTGCGACCCTCATACAAAATCCTAAAAATCGCAAAATTTTACCAAATAATTCAATTTTTAAGAAACTACCTTGATCTGGTAATTTTGAGAAATCTTGCAACATTGCAATGTATCAGGAGCTTTACCTCCTCGCTTTTCTGCGATCCTAATACGAAATCCGAAATATCGCAAAATTTTACCAAATAATTCAAATTTTAAGAAACTACCTTGATCTGGTATTTTTAAGAAATCTTGCAACATTGCATTGTATCAGGAGCTGTACCTCCTCCCTTTTCGGCCATCCTAATACGTAATCTGAAAAATCGCAAAATTTTACTAAAGTGTTAAATTTATTAGAAATTCCTATGATCTGGTATTTTTGAGAAATCTTGCAACATTGCAATGTATCAGGAGCATACCTTCTCGCTTTTCTGCGATCCTTATACGAAATCCGAAAAATCGCAAATTTTACCACATGGTTAAAAAAATTTAAGAAATTCCCTTAATCTGGTAATTTTTAGAAATCTTGCAACATTACAATGTATCAGGAGCTATAACTCCTCGCTTTTCTGCGACCCTCATACAAAATCCTAAAAATCGCAAAATTTTACCAAATAATTCAATTTTTAAGAAACCACCTTGATCTGGTATTTTTAAGAAATCTTGCAACATTGCATTGTTTCATTTAATCCGAAAAATCGCAAAATTTTACTAAAGTGTTAAATTTTTTAGAAACTCCCATGACCTGGTATTTTTGAGAAATCTTGCAACATTGCAATGTATCAGGAGCATACCTCCTCGTTTTTCTGCGATCCTTATACGAAATCCGAAAAAACGCAAATTTTACCAAATGGGTAAAAATTTTAAGAAATTTCCTTGATCTGGTAATTTTTAGAAATCTTGCAACATTGCAATGTATCAGGAGCTATACCTCCTCGCTTTTCCGCGATCCTCATACAAAATCCTTAAAATCGCAAAATTTTACTAAATAATTCAAATTTTAAGAAACTACCTTGATCTAGTATTTTTAAGAAATCTTGAAACATTGCATTGTATCCTCGATTTTCGGCCATCCTAATACGTAATCCGAAAAATCGCAAAATTTTACTAAACTGTTAAATTTTTTAAAAATTCCCATGATCTGGTATTTTTGGGAAACCTTGCAAAATGGCAATTTATCAGGAGCATACCTTCTTGCTTTTCTGCGATCCTCACACGAAACCCGAAAAATCGAAAATTTTACCAAATGGTTAAATATTTTAAGAAATTCCCTTGATCTGGTAATTTTTAGAAATCTTGCAACATTGCAATGTATCAGGAGCGACCCTCATACAAAATCCTAAAAATCGCAAAATTTTACCAAATAATTCAAATTTTAAGAAACTAACTTAATCTGGTATTTTTAAGAAATCTGGCAACATTGCATTGTATCAGGAGCTGTACCTCCTCGCTTTTCTGCGATCCTTATACGAAATCCGAAAAATCGCAAATTTTACCAAATGGTTAAAAATTTTAAATAATTCCCTTGATCTGGTAATTTTTAGAAATCTTGCAACAATAAAATGTTTTAGGAGCTATATTTCCTCGCTTTTCTGCGACCCTCATACAAAATCCTAAATTTTTACCAAATAATTCAAACTTTAAGAAACTACCTTGATCTGGTATTTTTAAGAAATCTTGCAACATTGCATTATATCAGGAGCTGTACCTCCTCGCTTTTCTGCGATCCTTATACAAAATCCGAAAAATCGCAAAATTTTACCAAATGGTTCAAATTTTTAAAAAATTCCCATGATCTGGTATTATTTTAGAAATCTTGCAACATTGCGCTTTTCTGCGATCCTAACACAAAATTCGAAAAATCGCAAAATTTTCCCATATGTTTAAAATTTTTAAGAAATGTTCTGTTTTGTTAAAAATCTTGCAACATTGCATTGTATCAGGAGCCATTCCTTCTCGCATTTCTGCGATCCTAATAAAAAATCCGAAAAATCGCAAAATTTTCCCGTATGGTTCAAATTTTTAAGAAATTCCCATGATCTGGTATTTTTTATAAATCTGGCAACATTGCATTGTATCAGGAGCCATTTATCCTCGATTTTCTGCGATCCCAATACAAAATCCGAAAAATCCAAAAATAGTTAGACTTGATGACGGGACATTTTTTTGGAAATGACCGTAATTTTTTTGTTTTAAAATATTTAAAACTTTAAATTTATTTTAAAATAAGATTGAAATATATATATATCAAAAATTACTATACTTTGTATATTATAGATAAGCATCTACAAATATTCTTATAAAATCCTTAAGGTCATATTTTTATTTTAAATATGTATATCAAAAGTACCTTTATATTTGTTCAATTTTGAAATTATTCACTAACAAACATCCTGTATAATCGATAAAATTTGATAATCGAAACCAAAATTCAACAAAATAATTTATTTATCGTTTATTTTAAAATAAACAAATCCCAAACAAAATTGAATCTGACGTCATTGTGACGTACACAAATAAGCAGAAGCAATTTTAGTCTGACTACTCTCTCGAAGAGGGCGCTAAATATTTTTTTTAGAAATTGTTAAAAACGCTCTTAAAAATCTAAAAAACACTGTATACACGGATAAATTTAACTTGTGATGGTTGTTTTTACGGATAACTGCAGATGAGGCTGTTTTACGTGTACAAAACGGATTTAAAAATGTTGGCGGCGGGAAATTTTCGAACGGCATTAAAATAAACATGGCTTCAAACAAATCAGTGATATCATGTGTTTGGGTGGAATAAAATGGTGTGCTCTTGAAACAGTTGAAGTTTACGGTGTAGTTTATTAGGATTTTCAAATCAAAGGTAGCAATGAATTGTGATTTTTTTCGTTTGTTTCGATTCGTGTGAACGAAGTGAGCGTGTGCGTGCACATTTTTTTTCTTGTTATCCAAATCTGGCCGAATTAGTCGACAAATTCGTGTTGCATTCACGTTTTGTGTACTTCAATGGCTGAAATTTGACCTATATTATTCAAATTAATCAATTGACAGCGCGTTGTATCCGCTTACGCGTTTAATTTTATTGCGTTTTTCCCGTTTGAACAATTCGGGAAAGGCTTAGGTGGCTGGGCAATCCGATTGTGCGTTGGGGTAAAAATGTGGTTATGTACGTAACACGTATTGTATGTTTATTGCTAAATTTGGTAAACAATATCTTATCAATTTATGCGATTTCGGTAAATTATGATGCCACGAGTTATTTACGAGGCCTTCTGCCAGTTTGTTTGATTTTTAGGCCTCTGAAAGTTTGTGTAAAAATGTTATGTCATAACTTAATTGTACAGTTGCCTTCACTTTAATTTATCTTTTCTGTTAAGATGGATGATGATATTGCGTAGGTATTTTTATTAGGAACAAATTATTTGAGCAGTTTAATAATTTTTAGTTAAATGCGTGCATGTCAATTTATTACGACTGGATCTAGTAGGCGATCGCGATTTATTAAAATTTAATTCCAATTAAAACCTGTTTAATAAGCATGCAATTTTAATTAAAACATCTGCAGCTCATAATTTATATGCGACAAAAAGTTGTATAGCTATCTTAATTGTCGCGCTTTGTTAAAAATAATTTAATCAACACAGCTAGTTTAGTTTCTCTTTGAAAAAATAATCCAGCTGCAATGAAAATAACAATTGCTTAAAAGCTAAAGTGGCAGTGCCACTGTGGCACATACACAGGTTACCATGACAACCAGGCAGTGTTGTCAAGAGTTCATCTGAGATGCAGAAGGGCAATTTTTTAAAATTTATATGATTAAAGTGATGGTGTCATAATAAAAATGTTTGGCCTTAACTTTAAAAAATTGAATGAGTATGAGTATATGAGTATAAGAGACGTATAACCAGCCCCATTTCCTCTTGACTCTCGAACCCCGTACAGGCCTATGTTTACTTACGCCGATTTTTGTTCTTCCCCAGCAACTTCGCGGCTTCACCCGTGTTTGCTGGGTGCGAATGTCCATTGCGTTTCGTACTGTCCCCTATTTGGAGCTCGAGAGCGAGAGGCGAATAGTTATAATAGCCATTCCCGGGTTCGCCGAGCCTATGCTATACGCTCAGTGGGGTATGGAGAAGGGACGGGAGGGTGTTGGTTTTTGGGGGACAATTACGCCGACTTAAAACTAAGTACGACGCGGAATCCCCCTAGACCAGTCGATTAATATTACTCCAAACATTTGGGATTACTATTTGGAGTTGGGGAGTTGTTATTGCTGCAGTGTGTAGTTACCTAGTCGAGGTCTTCGTCTTGTTCATTATCCGTGTCGGATAGTTCCTGAACTTGGTAAAGTGTGTCGGTTGTTTTTTTTTATTTTGTTTTTATTGTTGCTAAGTTGCTCCCAACTGGTCTTGTTAATTTGTGAGAAGTGCATGTTTTGTGCTAACGTGTCATGAAATGTGAAGCATGGTCTCCCGACTTTTTTGTCTGTAAGGTCTAGTTTAAGGGTGGCTTGTAGTATGTTGTTGCGTTGTATACGTCTGAGGCGGCTAGTATTGTTTCCAGTCCGGCCCAGAAGCCGTAATTACCGTGGTCGTTTAGGTACGCATTAATTTGTCCTGTTTTGTCACTTATGTGTTCATAACGACTGCTTAGTTCATTTATTGCGTCCTCGATGTAGGGTCTGTACGTTCCTATGTTATTACGTAAGTGGTTGTTTAATATTTGTCTAGTCTCTGCTGTTGTTTCAGTTTCGCGTAACGAACCTATCACCGTGTTAAACAGCTGATGTGCAATCGCTGCGATAAGGCAGTTCCCAGTGGGGGGTATTTTTTTTACTTTTACTATGAAGTCAAGAGTGTTTACAAATTCCATGGAGTTTGATTATAGTGCTTTTTTTAACTTTGTTTATTTTTCTTAGTTTATGTTGTTTATGTCTTAAGTGTCAAATTTATTTGGTCTCGGTTTATTTTACTTGAATTGTTATGTTGACAGCTTTATTGCCCTGTTCAACTTTGGTGCGTGTCCGCGATCGGCTGTTTGGTTTTTCTTGGAAAATTGACTTTTATTTATTTAATGCCGATGATTATTGTTTTTTTTAGTTAGGCAATGTGCCTTGTTTAGTTCAATTTGCAAATTATGTGTTAGGTCATGCGGAAGAATTGGAAATACTTAGCAAATATTTGCAGGTGGCCTGTTCCTCCCTTGTATGTCCTCTTTTGTTTGGCCTGTGGAGATCGACCTGTTGACCGATGGTGCGACCGCTCAGGCACTGACACTTGTCACTCGACACTTTCTTGTCACTCAACGCTTAAAACTTTTGACCGTTTCACTATGTTCGCCTGCACCTGTCACTTCACTCCTCCTTTTCACTTGGCCGTCAACTAATTATTGACCGTATTGTAGTCTGTACTCACAGTATTTTTTTTTACACTATAGTAGTTTGCACTATGAAGGTTTATTTGTTGGTTATGGTTTTATCGTTATACGTTTTACGTTTACTCTGCCTCTGCTGCGTCGACTTCTTCACTCGACGGCTGGGACGAGAAATTAACTTTAAAAAATTGAATACTGATAAAATGCAATGGTAGGTTTATCTTATTTATCTACCTAGGTACTTGTTCAGTTTTTAAAATTGATTACTTTGAAAAATACTAGAAACCAGAATAAAATGCACTTTTTTATTTGTTTTTGATTTTCTAGATTTTAAAAAAGTATGTTATTGTATAAAAATAAAATTTCAAACCTATTTGAGAAAAAATAGAGTTCTATTGACTACCAAAGAAAAACAATTTTTACCAACACTAGGTGTGCATATAATTAAAAAGTAAATTTGTCACCCTTATTTACCATAAAATTCAACATAAAACATAAAAAGGTTGGGAATAAATTAAAAACGGATTCCTTAATAAAAAATAATAATAAAAGATTTTTTCACATACAGGGTGTTAAAATTAATAATTTTTTTATAACTTTCAAACGCTTAAAGATAAGGAAACAAAATTTTAACTATTGTTTTATTTGGTAATGCCTTTTTAATGCTTATTCTGCCATTTTCTAAGATTGGATACTGATTATACTTCTGTTACCTTTATTTACCTGTGTAGGTTGTGAAAAAACTGGTATTTACAAAATGTTGAATTAGGGAAAACGGTAAGGGATGCAGAGAAAACACAAGAGGGTAATTTTGTTTGCATAATAAACAAACACAAGAAATAAACAACAAAAAATTGTTCAATGGCATATTTTTCTTTATAAAACTCGAAAAATTATCGCTACTAGGTGGCGCTAATAAATTGAATATCGGGGGGTAGTTAGAACTTAAAGGATGTCTTATTATTTTTTGAGATTTTGTGAGAAATTAAAGCATATTTTAATTTATTTTAGATAAAATAATTTAGTACCTGTCTCCTAAACGCATTTAAAAGAGTGTTATTTTGACAGAGCACCTTACAAAAATTGTCAAAATTTCTTTATTTTAGAAGATTTAGACAATCTGTAAAATGCATAAAGATCGTTACCTAGACACTAGACCCTCAAAAAATTGTCAAAATTGTTGATAAATTGCAAGACTTACATAAAGAGACATTTTTTTTTAAAAAACGTCAGCCATATTTTTGTTTTAGATGATTTAGAAAAACTGCAACATGCATTTAAAAGAGCGTTATTTTGACAGTAGACTCATACAAAATTGACAAAATTGGTGATAAATTACTAGATTTGACAAGACATGGCGAAATTTTTACAGTTGACCATCCAAAAATTGTTGATAAAATACCTCGTAAAATACAAGGCTTACATGATTAGACATCTTTTTTGAAAAACTGCAAAATGCATTTGAAAGATCGTTATTTGAAAAGCAGGCCCTCAAAAACTTGTAAAAATTGTTGATAAATTTCAAAACTTGACGAGATAAAATTCTCGTTACTAGGCTAATGAATTGAATATACGAGGGGTGATTAGAACTTAAAGGATGTCTTATTATTTTTTGAGATTTTGTAAGAAATTAAAGCATACCTATTTTAATTGATTTTAGACAAAATAATAAAATAATTTAGTATGTCTCCTAAACGCATTTAAAAGAGTGTTATTTTGACAGAAGACCTTACAAAAATTGTGAAAATTTCTTTCTAGTCATATTTTTGTTTTAGATGATTTTAAAGAGCGTTATTTTGCCAGTAGACTCGTAAAAAATTTTCAAAATTGGTGATAAATAACTAGATTTGACGAGACATTGCGAAAATTTGACAGTAGACCATCCAAAAATTGTTGATAAATTACTAGACTTACATGACAACATAATATTTTTGAAAAACGTCAGTAATTTTTTTGTTTCAGAAGATTTAGAAAAACTGTAAAATGCATTTAAAGAATCTTTCTTAAGCAGTAGACTCTCAAAAAATTGTCAACATTGTTGATAAAATACAAGACTTACATGACAAAACATCTTTTTTGAAAAACGTCAGTAATTTCTTTGTTTTAGAAGATTTAGAAAAACTCCAAAATGCATTTGAAAGATCATTATTTGAAAAGTAGGCCATCAAAAAATTGTAAAAATTGTTGATAATGAGTTGAATATACGAGGGGTGGTTGAGATTTTGTGATAAATTAAAGCATATTTCATTTTTTTTAGACAAAATAGTAAAATAATTGAGTATGTCTCCTGAACGGGCAATCTCACCGCAATACGACGTGTCGTCCACGCCAAAATTATCGGTGCCCGGCAGTCCGGTGGCCGGCACGCCACTGCAGGACGCCACCTCGCCTTTCTCCCTCCTGCTGGCCGTCGCTCAAAGCCAGAAAAACGGAGACGACGACTTGACCAGTTTGTCCTGGTTGCACGACCAGGACGTGCTCAAAGGTAAAAAAACGTTCGAAATAAAAAGCAACCCTAACCTTCTGCAACAGTTAATAATGTTCCAGGCATGAACATCAACCCGTCGCCGTCGAGCAGCGTGCAGGGCACGCCCAACAAAAGCTACGGCGTGCTGTCCACGTCCGCGACCGACTCGTCCGAGTCGCCCGCAGACTCGTCCAGCAGCTCGCCCAGCTCCCAATCGCCGCACAACCACAGCCACGCGCAGAAAAACAAGCACCCCCACAACATACCGTACGACCCGCTCATACACACCAACAACAAGCCGCCCTACTCCTTCAGCTGCCTCATTTTCATGGCTATAGAGGATTCCCCCAAGAAGGCGCTGCCTGTCAAAGAGATCTACGCGTGGATTTTGGATCACTTTCCCTACTTCAAGAACGCGCCCACTGGCTGGAAGAACAGCGTCAGGCACAATTTGTCTCTGAATAAGTGTTTCCAGAAGGTTGATAAAGCACCAGTAAGTATATTACTTCACTATACCTATAATATCAAAGATATGCTAATTATCTTATCATTTTTGGTCTTTCTGGTAAAAATTAGTCTCACTTGATGGGTCGCACTACCATGTTAAAATGATGTTTAGATAAATTCGATGTTGTTTTGTTTTTCGTTATTTGTCGTTGTAAGTGTATAGTGCGACCCCTCTAGTAAGGTTAAAATTAACCAACTAAGACATTTTTATAATAAAAACTGCATATTTCTTATTAACAAACTTTTTGTGGGCGTTATAAACCGATTTTTACAGATATGTTAATTATCTTGTCATATTTAGTCTTTCTGGTAAGAATTAGTGTTACTTGATAGGTCGCACTACCATGTTAAAATGCTGTTTGGATAAATTCGATGTTGTTTTGTTTTTCGTATTGGTTGTTCTAAGTGTATAGTGCGACCCCTCTAGTAAGGTTAAAATTGACCACTAAGAAATTTTTATAATAAAAACTGCAAATTTCTAGTTTACAAACTTTTTGTGGGCGTTATAAACCGATTTTTACAGATATATTAATTATCTTGTTCTTATCTTATCTTTTTTATTCTTTCTGGTCAAAATTAGTGTTACTTGATAGGTCGCACTGCCTTGTTAAAAGGATGTTTAAATAAATTCGATGTTGTTTTGTTTTTCGTTATTTGTCGTTGTAAGTGTATAGTGCGACCCCTCTAGTAAGGTTAAAATTGACCAACTAAGACATTTTTATAATAAAAACTGCATATTTCTTCTTTACAAACTTTTTGACGGCGTTATAAACCGATTTTGACAGATATGTTAATTATCTTGTCAATTATAGACTTTCTGGTAAAAATTAGTCGTACTTGATGGGTCGCACTACCATGTTAAAATGATGTTTAAATAAATTCGATGTTGTTTTGTTTTTCGTTATTGGTCTTTGTAAGTTTATAGTGCGACCCCTCTAGTAAGGTTAAAATTGACCAACTAAGACATTTTTATAATAAAAACCGCAAATTTCTAGTTTACAAACTTTTTGTGGGCGTTATAAACCAATTTTTACAGATATGTAAATTATCTTGTCATATTTAGTCTTTCTGGTAAGAATTAGTGTTACTTGATAGGTCGCACTACCATGTTAAAATGCTGTTTGGATAAATTCGATGTTGTTTTGTTTTTCGTTATTGGTTGTTGTAAGTGTATAGTGCGACCCCTCTAGTAAGGTTAAAATTGACCAACTAAGACATTTTTATAATAAAAACTGCAAACTTCTAGTTTACAAACTTTTTGTGGGAGTTATAAACCGATTTTTACAGATATGTTAATTATCTTGTCATTTTTATTCTTTCTGGTCAAAATTAGTGTTACTTGATAGGTCGCACTGCCATGTTAAAATTATGTTTGTATAAATTCGATGTTGTTTTGTTTTTCGTTATTTGTCGTTGTAAGTTTATAGTGCGACCTCTCTAGTAAGGTTAAAATTGACCAACTAAGACATTTTTATAATAAAAACTGCAAATTTCTAGTTTACAAACTTTTTTGGGAGTTATAAACCGATTTTTACAGATATGTTAATTATCTTGTCATTTTTATTCTTTCTGGTCAAAATTAGTGTTACTTGATAGGGCGCACTGCCTTGTTAAAATTATGTTTGGAGAAATTCGATGTTGTTTTGTTTTTCGTTATTGGTCGTTGTTAGTGTATAGTGCGACCCCTCTAGTAAGGTTAAAATTGACCAACTAAGACATTTTTATAATAAAAACCGCAAATTTCTAGTTTACAAACTTTTTGTGGGCGTTATAAACCGATTTTTACAGATATGTTAAGTATCTTGTCATATTTAGTCTTTCTGGTAAGAATTAGTGTTACTTGATAGGTCGCACTGCCATGTTAAAATTATGTTTGTATAAATTCGATGTTGTTTTGTTTTTCGTTATTTGTCGTTGTAAGTTTATAGTGCGACCCCTCTAGTAAGGTTAAAATTGACCAACTAAGACATTTTTATAATAAAAACTGCAAACTTCTAGTTTACAAACTTTTTGTGGGAGTTATAAACCGATTTTTACAGATATGTTAATTATCTTGTCATTTTTATTCTTTCTGGTCAAAATTAGTGTTACTTGATAGGTCGCACTACCATGTTAAAATGATGTTTAAATAAATTCGATGTTGTTTTGTTTTTCGTTATTGGTCGTTGTAAGTGTATAGTGCGATCCCTCAAGTAAGGTTAAAATTGACCAACTAAGACATTTTTTTAATAAAAACTGCAAATTTCTGGTTTACAAACTTTTTGTGGGCGTTATAAACCGATTTTTACAGATATGTTAATTATCTTGTCATATTTAGTCTTTCTGGTAAGAATTAGTGTTACTTGATAGGTCGCACTACCATGTTAAAATGCTGTTTGGATAAATTCGATGTTGTTTTGTTTTTCTTTATTCGTCGTTGTAAGTTTATAGTGCGACCCCTCTAGTAAGGTTAAAATTGACCAACTAAGACATTTTTATAATAAAAACCGCAAATTTCTAGTTTACAAACTTTTTGTGGGCGTTATAAACCGATTTTTACAGATATGTAAATTATCTTGTCATATTTAGTCTTTCTGGTAAGAATTAGTGTTACTTGATAGGTCGCACTACCATGTTAAAATTATGTTTGGAGAAATTCGATGTTGTTTTGTTTTTCGTTATCGGTCGTTGTAAGTGTATAGTGCGACCCATGTAGAAAGATTAAAATTGACCAAGACATTTTTATAATAAAAACTGCATATTTCTACTCTACAAACCTCTTGTGGGCATTATCAACCATTTTTAATACTGGTACTTGGCATTCCTATTTTTATAAAAATGTGACTATTTGACAGTTTATGTATGTATGTTTAAATACTTAATTATATTTAATAAAATTGTATATGCGCCTACTAAATTAATCTTTTAACAAAAAATATTTTGTTATTACCAGTTTCAAATGAATGCCCATTATCTTATTATTTTGGCTAGAGTCTTATCTTAACTTAAAAAAGATAATAATAATAAATGCATACAAACCTAAGTTAGGTTACCTAACTAGCAATAAACAATTTGTCAATGATATAATTTTTAAATGTTAACTATAAAATAATGTTCAAATGTTTTTGAATTGTTTTTAAAGATAATTTATGAAAATTGTACAAAATTTAATTTCCCAAGTAAAGTGTAAACACATTTTGTGGAAAAATTTACAGATCGCGGTATTCACATTTTGTTGATATCTTTTAGAACCTAGGCAAAGGCTCCCTGTGGACAGTGGACCAACAGTACAAGCCCAACTTGATCCAAGCGTTGATCCGCTCCCCGTTCCACCCGTGCGCGAACCTCAACCCCGCCAACTACACGAAAGCCACCCCCAAACCGCAACCGACCGCCGACGAGAACTCGATGGTGCGCCTCCCGAACCCGCAGCTGTTCCCCTACTTGGCGCGCAAGCTGGCCGCGACCACGAAAATGGAGTCGGAGGAGTCGCTGGACGAGCGGGACGCCGCGGCGGCCATGCTGTGCCTCAAGAACGGCCCCAAGCTGCCCGCGCTGGTCAAGGACGGCAAGAGGACCAAGTGGCAGGTGATCACCAACTCGCCCAGCCAGGATCACACCTACAGCGCCGCCACCTCCACCGAGGACGAAAGCGAAGATGACAGGTGGGCATTCTTTTAGTTTCTGCATTTTAGCCCGTATTTATAATTATCAAAAAATCGTAAACAATTTGATTCCCTCAAAAATTGTAACAACAGTTTTTGTTGAAAAATTCACAGAACGCGAGATATCTTACGTAACCTTGTGATGTACAGCGATATCTTCTAAAATATTTGTTTTACAGAAAAAAGTTTTTTATGAAAATTGTAGAGAATGTAATTTCGTTTTAAGTGTTATATCACTTTTTGTTGAAAAATTGATGGTTATCGAGTTTTTTATATTTACTTAGAAGGTGCAAAACCAGACGATCATGCCGACTAATTCTTTTATTGTAATATCTTTGAAAATTTACATTTTTTAGAAAAAAGTCATATAAGAAAATTTTGGAGAATTTCATTTTCTACGAAAAAACTACAAAACTCGAAATATCTGACATGTTAGTTATGTAACTTTTACGTAACATTGTGATCTACAGCGATATCTTAAAAAATACGTATTTTACAGAAAAAAGGTATTTATGAAAATTGTAAAGAATATAATTTCCTACAAAGTGCTATAACACTTTTTGTCGAAAAATTATCGAGTTTTTTATATTTACTTAGAACTTGCAAAACCCGATCATGCCGACTTATTACCATATCTTTGAAAATATACATTTTTTTGAAAAAAGTCATAAAAGAAAATTTTAGAGAATTTAATTTTCTACAAAAACTGTAATAACAGTTTTGCCGAAAAAATTACGAAACGCTAGATATCTGACATGTTAGTTATGTCCCTTTTACGTAACAGTGTGATGTACACCGATATCTTAGAAAATACGTATTTTACAGAAAAAAGGTATTTATGAAAAAAAAAATTTAAATATCTTTGAAAATATACATTTTTTAGAAAAAAAAGTCATATAAGAAAATTTTGGAGAATTTAATTTTCTACAAAAACTGTAGTAACAGTTTTTGCCGAAAAAACTACAAAACGCGAAATATCTGACATGTTAGTTATGTAACTTTTACGTAACATTGTGATGTACAGCGATATCTTAAAAAATACGTATTTTACAGAAAAAAGGTATTTATGAAAATTGTAAAGAATATAATTTCCTACAAAGTGTTATAACACTTTTTGTCGAAAAATTATCGAGTTTTTTTATATTTACTTAGAACTTGCAAAACCCGATCATGCCGACTAATTCTTTTATTGTAATATCTTTGAAAATACACATTTTTTAGAAAAAACTCATATAAGAAAATTTTGGAGAATTTAATTTCCTACAAAAACTGTAGTAACAGTTTTTGCCGAAAGTTATGTTAGTTATGTCTCTTTTACGTAACATTCTGATGTACAGCGATATCTTCGAAAATACGTATTTTACAGATAAAAGTTACTTATGAAAATTATAGAGAATATAATTACCTAAAAAAAGTGTTATAACACTTTTGTCGAAAAATTGATAGTTATCAGGTTTTTTTATATTTGCTTAGAACCTGCAAAACCCGATCATGCCGACTTATTACAATATCTTTGAAAATATACATTGTTTAGAAAAAAGTCATAAAAGAAAAATTTAGAGAATTTAATTTTCTACAAAAACTGTAACCGAAAAAATTACGAAACGCTAGATATCTGACATGTTAGTTATGTCCCTTTTACGTAACATTGTGATGTACAGCGATATCTTAGAAAATACCCATTCTACAGAAAAAAGGTATTTATGAAAATTGTGGAGAATTTAATTTTCTACAAAAAGTGTCATAACATTTTTTGCCGAAAAATTGATAGTTAATGGATATTTACTCGCATATTTACAAAAGCCGAACATACCGAATAATTGTTTTATTGTAATATCGTCGAAAATATGAATTTTTCAGGAAAAAGTCATAACAAAATTTTAGAGAATTTAATTCCCTTCTAAAAATGTAATAAGAGTTTTTGTCTAAATAATCACGGAACGCGAGATATCTGACATGATAGTTATGTCACTTTTACGTAACATTGTGATGTTCAGCGATATCTTGGAAAATAAAAAATGTAATAAGAGTTTTTGTCTAAATAATCACGGAACGCGAGATATCCGACATGATAGTTATGTCACTTTTAGCGATATCTTGGAAAATACTCATTTTACAGAAAAAATGAATGAAAAAAGTGGAGAATTTAATTTTCTACAAAAAATATCATAACACTTTTTGTCGAAAAATTGATAGTTATCGAGTCATTTGGATATTTACTCGCATATTTACAAAAGCCGAAATTTTTTTTTGTAATATCTTCGAAAATATGCATTTTTCAAAAAAAAGTTATAAAACAAAATTGAAGAGAATTTGAATCTCTACAAATATTGTAATAACAGTTTTTGTCGAAAAAATAACAGAACGCGAGGTATCTAACATGTTAGTTATGTTATATTTTAGATAACCTTGTGATGTACAGCGATATCTTAGAAAATATTTATTTTACAGAAAAAATGCATTTGTGAAAATCGTGGAATTTTTTTTTCCTACAAACACTTTTTTACTCGCATATTTACAAAAGCCGACTAATTATTTTATTGTAATATCTTCGAAAATATGCATTTAAAAAAATTCATAAAACAAAATTGAAGAGAATTTGATTCTCTACAAATATTGTGATAACAGTTTTTGTCGAAAAAATAACAGAACGCGAGATATCTAAAATGTTAGTTGTGTCACTTTTACGTAACCTTGTGATGTCCAGCGATATCTTTGTAAATACGTATTTTACAGAAAAAACTTATTCACGAAAATTGTAGAGAATTTAATTGTAAAACTTATCTCGAAAAATTTATAGACTTTTTGATAATCACTTAATAATTATTAATCATAAATTAATTATTCAGAACGTTCAGAAGTCGAACGTGCCGCAAAATCGACTTCGAGGACGACGAGGAGCGCAGAATCAAAGAGGGCGCCGAGACGCTGCTCAATCTGGCCGGCATACCGACGCGCAAGCGCAACAACTCGCAGGGCAGCCAACACGACGGCTTCAAGCGCGCGAAAAGCGAATTTTTCGACATCAACGACAACGACTTGGAGCAGGAAGAGGAGGAAGAGAAGATGCCCTTCAAGCCGCGACTGTTGCGCACCAAGGGCCGCTCGAACAACAACAACAACTGCAAGGTGCCCAACAACAACAGCGAGGATTGGTCGAAGCACAGGCGCCAACTCGACATCAGTCAGAGCAGGTAATCAAACGCCCAAAAACGTTTAATAGCGAATTTTTAATGCCCGGTAGTTCATAAAGTTTAATGGGTTTGAAATCATCAAAAAGTTTTCAAGGGGAATTTCTCCGTTATACATTTAAAATTGAAATTTGTCAATTGTTGTATAGAATTTATTTATCAAATTACTTATATTGGGATGCTTTATTAATATTATAAGAACTTGTTTTTGATGATTTTAACGACAGTAAAGAATACCTCTTCCTAAAAAAATATATTACCAATTGAATATATTTTATGTTTTTGTTTATTATATTATATCTAAGGATTGTTTTTTACTCTACAATTTAAAATGACTGAAAATTATTTATTGAAACGCCCTTGTAAATATTTATTTAAATTAATAATGAAAAACATTTTGTATATTTTAACCAATTTAGCCTCATATAAGGTTTATTTTATACATTTTTATTTTTTTATTTTGATAATAAAAAGTTTTATTTCATTAACATTTTTAATTGTTCTCACATATTTTCCCACATAGATTTGAGGCGTTTAAAACATTTAAACTTTTCGCTAAAAATTTATAAAATAAACCCTTTATACCGTTATGTAGATAACCAAATATGTAATTTATTTTATAATTTCCAGTCATCTATTTTAAACTTGTTATATTTTTTTTTGTTAGACATTTTATCGCGTTTAATCGTTACCAAGTTTGATAATTTTAGGAAAAAATACCCTTACATTACTAATATTGTAGTTAATAGGTAGCAGTGTGAGACTACAAGTGAATTAATTAAATAAAACTTAGGTTAAACGATTAGCTCAAAAATCGCGTTAGCGCTGCGCGTGCACGTGTTACGTCACTCAAAGGCAACATGATTAATCTAAACAAAAAAACGAATGTCATTTGATACAATTTTAAGGTATTGTTTGGATTAATTGATGTTGCAGCTTTATTAACACATTTTTATGTGGGGATAAGTCCTTTTTATAGTAATATTTGCACTGGTGACAATCATCAATGTTTTTGCACCAATAGATGGAATTTTTACCCTGATTTGTATGTGTTTTAAACTAAAATGGACCATTTAGTGAATGCATGAAAAGTGTGGGCTGGAATGGGTATGATTTTTGGGTCTTACTCAGGAAAAAATTAAAAATTTCGTATAAATAATAAAGAAAACACGTGTAAAGGTTAGTGATGCAACTTTATAACGCATTTCAGCCCAGATTTTACTGTGTATAGAAAGTAATGTAACGGTTTTTATATTAATGCCAAACTTTTACGTTATTTTATGTTAAAATAAAATAAAATCACGTAAGGGGGTGGGTGATTTCAAATTCTATTAAATTAGTAAAATTTTATGAATAAAAAAAAATGGTTAGCAATAATATAAGGGATCGTAGATTGTAAAGAAAAGTTGTATGAGGTTGGTAGATTAGTTTACGAACTGATATATTTTTTCTATTTCTCGTGATATACATATATACATACATATATGAATTGTGCTCTTCCTATTAATTAACTTCATGTTAAAAAAAAAGAGTAAAGATTTTTCTGTGTTCTAAATTTTACATTTTGAACTCTCAAACATACAAATACAATTTACCCTATATATTAATTATACTATACTTATATTCTATGAAAGTGGTGCTTTAAAATTGCTTTTTCAATAACATTCTAATGTTAAACAATTTAACATGCCATTTATGCAGACCCTTTAAGAACTTCCCTAAAAAAATTGTATCAACAGTTTTTATAAAAAAAACACGGAACGCAGATATCTGACAAGTTAGTTATGTCACTTTTACGGAACCTAGTGATGTAAAGCGATATCTTTAAAAATACGTATTTCACAAAAAACAACTGATAGTTATTGAGATACTCACATAAATATAATTATCTTGGTCTTGACTTAAATATAGTTTTTGTGTTTAACAGTAGAATGTTCTTTTATATTTAGTGTTACTAGTCGTTGGCTTATTGTAATTAACATATCTTTACGAAATTTTTATGATGGGAGTTCAAAAAATCAATCAAACAAATCTAAATATAAAGCAATAATAATAGTTTTATAATTATAACTAGCTAGTTCATCTTAAATGGTAAAACTAAAACTAAATGAAATTTGCCGCTTGGAATTTTCATTTAAATTCGACGGATTTCTTGTGAGGTTAAAATAATCAGCGATTGTGATGATTTTTTTATAGTAAGCAATATTATACCAGTTTGCCTGATATATTAATGAACAATACTCAAGGTTAAAAGGCAAACGCAGCTTCCCTAATATTTAACAATCATTTAATTTAACAAATCATACGTAATTATTAGTACTTAAGAAGTAGCAAAACACACCCTAGCAAAAACCTAAATGATTGTTAAATTGAGCTTTCGTGAATGAAATTCTCTGTGCCAAATGAAGTTATTGTAGTTTTTATAATATTTAAGTTTGAAACTATTATGACTGTATACGCAAAACTGACTTTTTAGGCTTTATGTCTGGAATTTTAAATCACTCAACTTAACTTTAGCCAATTTAAAATTGCAGACATTATGTCTAAAAAGTAGTCAACGACCAAAAAGTTTCGTGCATACGGCCATTAATTTATAATTTTGGTGTCTGTCTTCCAATTTTATAAGTCATTGAAGCAAATGAAAATTTAATATTAAGGTTACTTAGGTTTTAACCCGTAGTTGTTTATTCTTGCGACATGTTGAACAACTCCAGAATTTAATAGTTAGATATATTACCATCTATATGTGCTGTAATTAGTTTTTTTGTTTTAAATAATGTTATTTATATGTATACAAATTTATTGTAAAATAAAGTAAAATTTAAAAAATAATACTGTTTTATTTTATGGTTATCTATTGCGAAAGTAGACCTTTATGTAGGCAACCCAGAATACAGGCTGTATTATACAGCGTAACATTTGAACTACTTTTGACGGTTGGCGGGAGAAATCACGAGAGGCTAATTCGCCCACCATACCAACGTTGCCAAATGTACCCAAATTAAGATTTGTCATCAATTAAGCAAAGTGAGGTTAGACATTAAATTCTGTTTATAACCTATAGTTTTCTATGGTTTTGTTCAGAGACAAGGTTTTGTTGGTTTTTGCTGGTTTTGTTGATTTGTTTCGTAAGTAATCGTGAGTCGTGAACTTCTTTAAAAAGAGTTGGAATATTCCAATAATACAAAAATGTCAGTTATGTGCTTTATATGTAAAAAAATCTTTGCAAACCAGTCTTCCCACAATAGACATGTGAGAGAAGTTCACAAAATTTATCCAAAACCGTCGTCCTATGGAGAAGGTAGCAGATGGTGCAATTGTTGTTTGGAAGAAAATTGTGGTAATACTTTTAAAAATAGGAAACAGTTAATTTGCCATCTAGAAGAAAATCATTCCATACAGTTTGAAAAATATTATTCTGTCAAGGCTAGTGTGAATGGTAAGGGACCTTTTGAAAATAAAAAGAAATAAATAAATATAAAGACAATTTATTATCAATTAGATAAGTGTAAAAAGAACATCAATAAGTAATTTTTTTTCAATCAATAATAATATGTTAAAACATGCATACGTTTTGTTTCAGAATTTAAAAATTGGAAAAATGATATAGAAAAAGTAAATGACTGTTATTATGTTCTAAAAAGTAAGGCAGCAAGCACTATTGGGGAAGTTTTATACTACAACTGTAACAGGAGTAAAACAAGTAAGTTTTTATCTTTTGTAGCTTGCATTCATGCAAACTAATCATGTCATAATAATTTACTTATAGGTTATAGTACAAAAGATGAAGCACAGATGAAGCGACTGCAAAAATGTCAAGGTTCATGTAAAATGACCCACTCATGCACCAGTTCTATTAAAGTAACAAGTGAAAACGGAAAATATCACATTGAATGGCAGAAAACGCATTATGGTCATGATTTTGAACAAAAACACATAAGACTGCCAAAGCCTGAAAGACACTGTATTGCATCCAAACTTATTTCTGGAGTTACTACACAAAGGTAAGTTTGGGTTATTATTACTAAAAACGTACTAAAAACTAGTAGGTATTTTATTCTCGGTATCTAATTAAATATTTTTTATTAACAGAATTTTGGAAAGTACACGAGATAAAATTGGAGATCCTCTGAAGCGCATAGACCTCTTAACAGCCAAAGATATCAGAAATATTAAAAGTAGTTTTAATATTGAGTCAAGAGATGGGAAAAAACATCCTAATGATGCATTTTCTGTCGATCTTTGGGTCCAAGAGTGCATGTCTGGAGAAGAAAATCCAATTCTGTTATACAAACCACAGGGTCAGGATCACAGTTTATTAGCAAATAATGATTTCTGTATAATTCTAATGAATAAATTCCAAAGGCAAATGATCCAAAGCTTTCCCAATATCATAGCTGTAGATAGTACCCATGGGCTTAATGGATATGATTTTGAAATGACATCAATCATGGTGATTGATGAATTTCACCATGGGTTCCCAATAGCTGAAATGTTTTCAAATCGGAAAGACATCGTCATTCAGAACATTTTTTTTACCTCAGTTAGAGAATCAGCAGGTATATATATATACATATATATATATTTAAACGTAGTGTTTCACGGATGGAGAAATGTGAAGAAGTATTGATCTGGGAATAGACCCGTTCGTTTGTTAAATTCCGATTGGAATCTTGCAGACGTTTTACCAAGGTCTCATTTGGCATTATAAATGCCTTGGGTTTGTTGTCTTGTGGTAAACTGTTTTAATCAAAATTTAACAAATGAACGGATGTATTCCCGGATCAATAGATCTTCATATATATTTATATATTTAAACTGGTTTCAGGAACTGTCAACTGCAAAATATTCATGTCAGACATGGAAGAAACATTTTTTAATGCATGGCTTAACACAATGGGAGGAAATGCAGAACATTTGTTTTGCTCATGGCATGTAGATCGAGCGTGGCAGTCCAACTTGACAAAAATAAATAATAAGGAGAAACGTGCAGATACATATAAAATTTTGAAAACCTTGCAGCAACATACGTCTGAAGATGTTTTCTTTACATCACTACAAAATGCAATAAGCTATTTGCTAAGTGACACTGAAACTAAACGCTTTGGAGAGTACTTCAAAAATACATACAGCCACAATATTAAAAAATGGGCCTACTGTTTTAGACAAAATTCCTCAATAAATACTAATATGCATTTGGAATCAATGCATAAAACAATTAAGTACTTCTATCTAGAGAGAAAAACTGTGAAACGCTTAGATAGAGGACTTCATGCAGTGATTAAATATGTAAGAGATAAAAGTGTTGAAAGAATAATACGGCTAACAAAAGGTGAGCATACGAAAAGGACATGACAATTCACACAACATCATAAACAAGCAGTACAGAAGTCCCTTAGTTATAATGTTATAAACAATGGTTCTACATGGATAATTCAGAAGAATGAAAATAAGTCATATATTGTTAATCAGTTATTAGATGAAAAATGCTGTAGAGAAATTTGTGTATTGTGTAACATATGTAGGCACATGTACTCATGTGACTGTCCATTTTACAAAGAGAGGAAAATTATTTGTAAACACATACATATATTGGTATTAAAAGCAAACATTTGTGGTCACTTGGTTAGCCCTAAAAGTTTTACTGAAAGCATGTCAGTGTCTGAAAGCTTAGCCGCTATATCAAGGGAAAATTTTAACAAAGAGAAGAATATTGAAAAAATAAAAAATATACTCGCAGTTTTAGATAACTGTAATTATGAGAAACTTGATGACTCAGTAATTAGTCAAATACATCAAAATTTGTTAGTTGTCAACAATTTAACTACCTGCCCTAGCCTACTCACCAATGACAATAAATTTGAATGTCAAAAAAACACAAACAAAAGGATTATCAACCCTCAACTAAGATTTGTTTCTACAAGACAGCAACGTGTTTCCACCAATACTAGTTTGAAAAGGGCTACTGTAAATGAAGTAAAAGAGTTACAAGAGAATTTGAGGCATGCTCCAGGAGAACCTTTTATTGTGCACAGTACATCCGCGCTAAATGATCACGAATATTAATTTTTTTTTTAAACTATTTTAACATTTTTGTTTTTATATATTATATATATGTAATTTATATATTATTATATTATTTAAGTTAAGGTTGTATACTATAGGCAATTAAATATTTGTTTAAACTAATTTAAATTGTTTTAAAATTTATTTACTTTCCTAAAATATAAATATTTATATCTACTGAAAGTACTGAAAACAAAAAAGTTTACTGGGTCACAATCACTGGAGGCTTGTGGGTTTTGGTATAACGGTATCTCAGTTATGAGACATGGGTCCCATTAAATAAACCAATTCTGTGCAAGCAGAACTTGGATTGAAGTTTGCAAAAAAAAGTTCGTTTTTTGGCTAGTCTACCCTGCTCCTCAGAATTAAGATAATTAAATTTTACGTGGTGAATTTTATGAATTACCATAGTTTATTGAAAAATTTCAAAAATTATTAAGTATTGCACATTTAATACCATTTTAGGTTTTTATTATTTTTTTTACTAAAAAAAATTAAATGGTATAACATATGTAATTTTTTGAATAAATTTTGAAATTTGTCGATAAACTGGTGGTTTATAAAATTCACCACTTAAAATTTAATAATCTTAATTATGGGGGGCAGGGGGCTGGGGAGACAAGTTTTAAAACTTCTTCTTTTTGCATACTTCAATTTAAATTCTACTTGTGCAGAACTTGTTTATTTAATGTCATTAAAAACTCATATAAGTTTGGTGTGGGTCCCATATCTAATAACTGGGATATCGGTATATCCAAAATTTAGAAGCCGACACTGCAGTGGTCACAATGTATATTTAAAACTGGTCTTAATTAAAATTATTGAGCAAGGTACACTTTAAAAAGCTCAAAGAGGAAACTGAATCTACTCTAAACCTTAAGGTTAATTAACATTATCCATAATAAGGCTTTGACTCGATAGAACAAGTATTTCAAATTTCCCACCAAAAAAATGTATACAAAATGTGGCAACGTCGGTATGATTTGGGCGAATTAGCCTCTCGTGGAGAAATCTAACCTCAAAAAAATACAAACAACCCACATTTCTGTGCAACATGGGCAGTTTTGCGGATGAAACTTTACCGACGCCCGATAATTTCGAATTTCCTTTTCCGCCGTATGACATACAAAAAGATTTCATGCAGAATTTGTATTATGTCATCGAAACGAGAAAATTGGGCATATTTGAGAGTCCAACGGGAACTGTGGGTGAAAAACACAATAAAAATATTATAAAATTATTACTTTTTCTAGGGAAAATCATTAAGTATAATTTGTGGGGCCATTAGGTGGTTAAAGGATCACAATAAATTTTTAAGAGACAAAATAAATACTAAGATTGATGAATTGGAAAAAGAACGTGAAACATGTAATAACGATGATGCTGATTGGTTAACTGCGCAATCTAAAGACATTGAAATCGTTAAAAAGTTGGATGCGTTGAAAATAGAGCAAAAAAAGATCATTGATTATGATGAAAAAATTGAGAAAATTATTAAGAATTCTAAAGTTACAGTCAAGGCTAATAAAAATAAATATGATAAAAAGAAAAAGAAAGACGATATGGATATTGAAGAAAAAGAAGACAAGGATATCGTGGAGGAAGATATAATAATTGAAGATAGAATAAACATTGAAGATGATTTATCTGATAACGAAGAAGATGTGGAAAAATTTCAACCAATTAAGGTAAAATTAAAATCACTTTATGATGTTAAAACAACATTAATTTTTTAGATTTATATTTGCAGCAGAACCCATTCACAGCTGTCTCAGTTTGTCGGTGAAATTATTAAATCGCCTTTTGGTAAAAACGTTAGGGTCGCTTCTTTGGCTTCCAGACAAAATTACTGTGTAAATCCCAATGTTGCCAACTTAAAAAGTATGGCGTTGATAAACGAAAGGTAATCCTCACTGAACTACACTTTGTGTAGTTCAGTGGTAATCCTGCGAAAGTTTGTTTAAGTGTAGGTAGGCAACCCAGATTACATCCACGTGTAATCTGGGTTGCCTACATTTAAACTTCGTTAATTTTCTTTGAAAACACGTGAGCAACGTTGAAATATCTTGTTTAAGATGTTTGGACATGCAAAAACAAAAATCCAAAACCACAAAATCGGATGACGACGGTCGGCCAGCCAAAAAACAGAAAAACGCGAATTGTAAATGTCAATTTTACAAACAAACGGCCATCGAAGAACTCAAAGATTGGGCCTTGACGGAAATACAAGACGTGGAAGATTTAATATCGAGCGGAAAACAATTGAACGCTTGTCCGTATTATGCCAGCAGGAAAGCTGCCGAAGATGCGGAGGTGGTTTTGATTCCGTACAACACGCTTCTACATAAAGCTACAAGGGAAGCAAATGGTACAGATTTATTGTTTCTTTAGAATGTTTTTTTGTTATTTTTTAAAATTGTGGCAACATTGCTTTAAATCTGAAAGTTCTGGTCAAAATACAGTTGTTTTTTTTATTTGGACTCGTGTTGGTAGCTTATGCCAGTTTGATTTAGTATTTAAAAATGGTACTTCTGCTGAACACATTAATTAAATACTATGACAATGTCAAATTGTAAGTAATATTTATTATTGATAATTTACTTGTCAATTATAAATAAAAAGATAATTATGCCAAAAATAATAGCAACGAATTCGAATATAAAAGCCCTTTTGAGGGCAAAACTTCATTTTGATGAAATTATGCCAAATGCCACAATGGAAGAAAAAGTACATCACCTTATGGACATTTTTAGAGTAACGAAGTGACGAATTTGGTTTTATAAATTTTACATCACACATTATTCAACATTGGACAACATTTACGTTCACAAAAAATTTTAATTTCTTTTATATAAATTCTTTTCAAAGCGAAGATTATTATCCGATAGGAATACTTTCTCTTCTGGGCCGTAAAGCAACCTATATTTAACTACTTTTTTTTATATGATTTTACTCATCCAAGCACCACCAAAGCCAAATTAATTGCATTTTTAACTACGAATTTCGACAACACAACTTGACAACTGCAGAATGTAACCTACAATAATTTATACATAACCACAATTAGATTTATAACTAGTTTAGTTTGTTTTAATCAAAGCAACCAATTTTGGTTCCGTATTTACCAACCAAACACCTAAATTTGCAACGTTGCCGCAGTCCAGATAAAAAAAAAGAACTTTATCTACTCCTACATTGACGAGCTGTCACTTTATGGCGTTTTATTGACGGGCTGAAGTTAACAACAGTGGCTTTTTGACATTTTACGTCACGGGCTGAAGTTAGCTTTATTATAAATTGGGAAAAAGTGAGGTTAAATTCGGGTGACAGTTGACAGATGTCAAAATTTTAACAAATAAAATTGGCTTTAAATTCTGTAATGTGTTCGTCGTAGATAAAGTATAGTATGCAACTCGTTTATAAACTTCTCTAGACACTCGTTTTTATTAAACACTCGCTCGCAAGCTTCGCTCGTGCTTAATTAAACTCGTAACTAAAATGGCGTTTATAAAACTTGATACATAATATACTATTATGTTAAAGGGTAAATTTAAATATTCTTAACATTTAACTTGTAGGTATTAATTTAAAAAACAACATAGTCATAATAGATGAGGCGCATAACTTGTTGGAAGCAATGGCGCAGATGTACAGCTCGAATTTAAATTTAAATCAGCTAAGACATGCCTCACATCAACTTAAATGTTATAAACAAAAATATAATACACGATTGTCAGCGAAAAATATGCTCGCAATTAATCAGCTTACTTTTGTGGTGAACAAATTGCAACAAACGTTAGGTAAGGGCTTAAATATGTCCACATATTTTTGATATACAAGGTGTTTGTTTCTTCCAAAGTCATTTAATAAAATTGAAAACGTAAATTGAATGTTATATTTTAGAGAAAGGTTGTGATGACCTTAAGGAATGCAGGACAGAAATATATACACTGGAAAAATTTACAATATCATCCCAAATTGATAATTATAATATGTTTAAAATTATTAAATTTTGTAAGGATTCAAGAATAGCACAAAAGGTAAAGAAACAATTTAAACTTTTTACTTTTATAAATAAAAAAAAATAAATTTAAAAATTTTAGATTCGCAGTTTTTCGCTAAAATACCCGCTGGAAGAGCAACCTACGGAAAAAAACGTCAAAAAGGGTGTCAAAGACTTTTTGGCGAGCATAGGAAACAAAAAAGAACCGAAAAAAGTCCCTGAAGTAGTACCACCGAAAAAAGACATTAAAGCCCTAGACACACCCGTACCTTCAAATCCTTTATTATCGGTCATTTCCTTTTTGGAATCCCTCACGTACTCATACGAAGATGGCAGGATTTTAATGACGAAAAACCCGGCCAAGCTGCAGTCGAAGCTGCAGTTTTTACTCTTGAATCCGTCCTCGAATTTCTGTGATATCGTGAAGGATGCTAGATCTGTAAGTAAAAATATAATATAACATAATTTTGGTGCCGTGACCAGGATTTCTTTTTATTTTGATTATTCTTGGGATAACTACAAATCAATATTTTTGCATTTTTCTTCAAAAAAATTGTCCAGTGGCTCCCTGGTTTTGTCAAAAAAAATCATATTTTTTATTAAAAAACAGTAGCATTACATACAATTTTTACAATACCTCATGACTACCAACATAATTAAATATGTCAAAGTTTTGACAACAATCTAAGTGATTAATAAAAAACCATTTCAAATTCTTCGTGATGATTATACTACTCTGTTTGTTTCTTTGCATGCTATACAGCACGATATTCGGCGATGTCGAATTGTAATTTAATTCCCCAACTCAAAATAATGTAAAATGTAGGTGATTGTGGCTGGTGGGACTATGAAACCGAACGCAGAATTTAGAGATCGGCTTTTCATCGGAGCCGGCGGAGATGCCAGCAGGATTGTGGAGTTTTCCTGCGACCACATTATACCTCAGGAAAATATTTTGCCCATAATTGTCACCAAGGGAGACACCAACCAGAATCTGCTGTTTAACTTTGAAAACAGACTCAATTTGGTTAGTAATAATATCGATGGTTATTTGACAAAACATCGTAAGCGACAAAACCTAAATTTTACATGAGAGATTAGTTATTTATCTCAAAACTTGTGAGACATTATTTTATCAATGTAGAATTCAAATATTTAAGTAAGATCGAATCCAATCTAAAATTTTCATTAAAATTTTGTGGCATACGATATTTTATAAGAACATCTTTGGAAACATGTAAAATTAGTCTTGTCGCTTAAGTTACATTTACGTTACTTTGTGGGATATAGATTTGATGATTACTTTTGTCAAAACATCGTTAGCGACATTTATTTCTTTACTTTTATTATTAAATAACAAAAAATTACAAAAAAATTAATTTATAAAATTTTACCAACGATATTTTGCCAATGTTTGAAAATGAAATTCTACATTAGCTTTCTTTGAAAAAAACGAACGATTTTTATTCACAAACCAGTATCTAACCCATGGAGCCTACACAAGGAGCCCGAACTTATAGGGGAAATTGACAAAACCTGCCCTCTAAATTGTACAAATTAAGTTTCTTCTTTTCACCACCAGCGGCGCTGATTGTCGATGATAGCGTTTCGGTACAAATTAAACAATTGTTTCAGAATAAACGGAACACCAGCGCCCTCTTATCTTAGGAAGATTCTTATTTTACATGATGTTCGGACTCCTTGTGTAGGCTCCATGATCTAACCCATGGTACCATGATCTAACCGTTATAAATATGAGTCAAATTATTTGACGCTAGAACAACATACAATTACTACAAAAAACACTTTTAACGAACCACACTGCTTACAAACAATTATAATTAGTAGAACTTTTAATGAGGCAATGAAAAAAAGGAATTATAAGCTTTTGATCAAATAAAATATTGTTTTAAAACTTGGTAGCAATCACCACGATGCAGGTATACTCACGAATAAACTGTTTAGAGCGGGAATAACGCCTTGATAGATCAAGGCGGGAGCACAATATTATCGTAAGCGACACAATGTTAAATCGCAAATGCCATGTCTCGGAGTTGCTTACGATTATTTGTCGGGAACATAGAGGCGCTTACGTTATAAATCGGTAACAAATTAAAAAGAAGAGGCGCTTACAATGATAAAAATATTCAAACTGACCAATATTAGATTCCAAAATTGGGATAACTTTTATGTTAACATGTGCAGCTTATCCTAACTGACACTTTGATAAAATAAAAAGTAATTCAACAAAATTGTCGCTTACGATGTTTTGTCAAATATCCATCGATATGCGGTACCTACCTAATTAATCCACTAAAAACCACTTCTAGGGTTCCTCTATTAAAAGTATAATCTCCCGAGCCTGCGAAACGGTAAAGGGTGGCATAGTGGTATTTTTCCCCTCCTACAAGTACGAAAACTGGCTTTGGAACCAGGTCAAAGGACAAAATTTCGGCCGACCAGTTTTTAGGGAACCGCAATCTGGCGGTTCGGTGGATTCCGTGCTGCAAAAATACTCGGAAGCCATTAAAAAACCTTCCAGTCCTGGAGCGCTACTCTTCAGTGTCGTAGGCAAATATTACCACAATAACAATTAAAAAATAAGGGCTGAAAATGTTTTTTTTAAGGCGGAAAATTAAGCGAAGGCTTGAATTTCAGCGACGACTTGGGAAGATGTGTGATGGTCGTAGGTCTACCGTATGCCAACATTATGGCAACCGATTTGAAGGAAAAAATGTCATATTTGGACAAAACTGAGGTAAGTGTATGGTAAAGCGATTCAAGTGTGCGCACTTTCAAATGCGCACTCTTAACATCCGTTACCTTACATTTGTACAAAAATTATTGAAATTGCATGGTTAAGTGCTTCAAGTGTGCGCACTTTCAAATGCGCACTATTAACATCATTTACCTTACATTTTACGAAAACCATTTAGACAATTGTATGGTAAAATGTTTAAGTGCGCGCACTTTCAAACGCGCACTGTTAACACCATTTACCTTACATTTCTACAAGAACTTGTCCTTTTTAGGGGCAAGGTTCCGGTCAAAAATTCTACGAAAATTTGTGCATGAAGTCTGTTAATCAATGCATAGGTAGGGCGGTGCGCCATAGAAACGATTTTGCTACCGTTTTGCTATTAGATGAACGATACAATAGACAATCGACGAAAAATGCGCTGCCAGGTTGGATAAAACGATCCCTTAAAGTTTGCAATTTCAACGAGAGTTTTGCTCTGATAAATCAGGTGAGATGTTTTTTATTTAAACGTTTAAATTTTTAAGGTTTTAAATTTAACGATTTAATTTTTAACGGTTTAGTTTTATTTTTTTTTGTTTTATTTTTTTGACAAGTTTTAACAATGTAATTGTTATCGTTTTAATTATTAAAGTTTTTATTTTTAACAAATGAATTGTTAACGTTTTATTTTTTAACGTTTTAAATGGAACGATTTAATTTTTAACGTATTAATTTTAGTTTTTTTTTGTTTTTGACAAAAATTAACAATTTAATTGTTATAGTTTTAATTAGTAACGTTTTATTTTTTAACGTTTTAAATTTAACGATTTTAGATTTTTTTGTTTTAGTTTTTTTGACAAGAATTTACAAATTAATTATCATTTTAATTATTAACGTTTTTATTTTAACAAATTAATTTTTAACGTTTTAAATTTAACGATTCAATTTTTAACGTTTTAAATTTAACGATTTAATTTTTAACGTTTTATTTTTATTTTCTTTATTTTAGTTTTTTGACAAGTTTTAAGAATTTAATTGTTATCGTTTTATTAACGTTTTTTTAACAAATTAATTTTTAACGTTTTATTTTTTTAAGTTTTAAATTTAACGATTTAATTTTTAACGTTTTATTTTTTTTTGTTTTAGTTTTTTGACAAGAATTTACAAAATAATTGTTATCATTTTAATTAATTTTTAACGTTTTAAATTTAACGATTTAATTTTTAACGTTTTAATTTTTTTTGTTTTAGTTTTTTGACAAGAAAAAAGTGTGATATATTTATATTGTAAAAAGTAAGAAATGTTGAATAATAATTATTGTTAATTATATTAATAAAATAAAGAAACCATAAATGTTTATTTTACTTACCATTTACATAGGAGTATTATGCAGTTTTATGTCGAAAAATTTAAATAAATTATTATTCAAATAAAAACCCAATTAATTAACTTTTTCGTTAATTAAAATTCTGTACACTTAATATAATTAACAAATTATTATAAATAAACCTATTTAAAGAAATTGCCTTGGCAAAATTTTGTATTTAAAAGTTAAGTATTAAAATTCAAAGAACTATGCTAAGTTCCTTGTTAGTTTTATTAGCCGTATCAGTGTCTTTAATATTTTACCTTTTAAAACCCGACAAAAAATTTGAGTGTCTTAAGCCTTATACAGCCACTCCAGCCTATGTGCCCTTATTGGGGCACTCATATACCTTAATAACTAACAGTAAGTAAAAATTCCTTTATTATATTTTTTGTATAATTTATTTTTTAAAAGATATCTTCAAAGCTATCGAAATTATCACATCGAAAAACAAACCTTGCGTTATGTGGGAAGGACCAAAGCCACTTTACGCTACAAATGATGCGGAGGAATTAAAAATTATATTAAATCATCCAAACGCTTTAAATAAACTGACGAAATTTCGATTTTTGGAAGAAGTATTTCAAGGGTCGATTATCGGAATTGAAGGTAGCAACATTCCACATATTTTAGGTCATACATAGAATGCGTTTTTAGCTTCTATATGGAGAAAAAACCGCAAAAAACTTTCAAAAGCGTTCCATCAAAACATCCTCGACAGTTTCGTGTACATTTTTTACGAACGGAGCTTAATTCTTGTCGACATTTTGAAAAATGTTACATCGACCACTGATTTTTACGATTTGTTTCAAAAATTCACCATGGACAGCTTTTTGGTTGCCAATACCGGGGTGGACAAGCAAGTTCAAAGGGAAAACTATATTGAAATTGTGGATTATCTTTTAAGGTAAGAAACTACTCGTATATATGGATGTAACATGTATGTTGGTTAATATCAACTTTTGTATCTATTGAAGTAAATATAATTGGGTTATTTTCAAATTTTTTGTGTTATTTTAAAATTTTTTGTACATTTGCTTAGAAAATGAATCTTTTCATTGGCAAGGCAAAACACGAATGTAAAGTGACATTTCTGTGTGAAAAGTGACAGGTCTGTATGAAAAGAAATTGACAGCATCGTTTGACATTCGTTTCAAAATTTGTATTGTATTTGTATATGTATGTCTAAATATCATTTAGAACACAATTAATTGTGTTTGTATAATAAATTATAGTTTTTAGTGCCTTTATTTAAATTGAGAAGGTAAGTTTACTAATTTGAAGTAACTTATACTTTAAAAATTAAAAGAATAAGAGGAAAGAATTTTAACAGTTGTCAAATACGTTTTTAAGTTATTTGGTTTTGTATTTGAATTTAATAAAAAATAAAAGGGTCGGAGAAAAAACATTGTGTTTCACTTGTAAGAAAAGCTTTCTTCAAGCTCGCGTTAATGCACACTCGGCCTGACGGCCTCGTGGGCAACTTAAACACTCGCATAAAAAGTCACTTTTCAACACTTGTAAAACAAATAACTATTTCAAAATAACTAAGCATAACACCCCTAAATAAACACATCTTTGAAGAAAAAAACAGGTTTGTAGATTAAGTTTTTGTTTTTACTTTTTCTTCTTTAAATGTACAAGAATTTTGAAAATGAGCCAATTATATCGCATTATTTTTGTGCGAATTCGACAATAATTAACAACTAACTATGGTATTTCTAATGTAAAGTATGTTTTTAATAAAACAACTTTTTAGGGGTCAGGCTATTGCCATAGATAGGTTCTTCAAACCGCACTTTTGGAATGACACGGTGTTTAAATATTTCGGCAGATCTTCCGAGTTAACAAAGTGCGTGAAAGAAACAACGGATTATTTAAGCGAAGTAAATAAAAAATATATAATTTAGGAGACACACAAAAAATCTCTTTTTAGGTATTAAACCAAAGACAACATCTTAAAGACAACGGCGGTAATTAAAAAAAGCGTTTAAAAAATTGCGTTGTATTGATAATTAATACTTTTTTGTTGTATTAGATTTTAACGAAACCCGGATGAAACCCATAATGGATTTACTGCTTGAAATGAACGAATTGGAAGATATTGACAAAAGTTATGTTATTAACGAAGTCAGGACGTTTTTTTACGCGGTAATAAGAATGTTTAAAACAATTAATAATAATATTAATAATAATAATTTTAGGCCACTGATACTTCAGCTCATACTGTAGCTTTTACGTGTACTTTACTGGGAATGCATCCAGAAATACAGGTAAACTATTTTTTTTTTCATTCCTATTCGAAAATGTTTTTTTTATTAACTTCTACCGCTGACTGGAAGCAAATAAATAAAAAAAAAAAAATTCTAAAAATAATAGTATTTACAAAATATATACAGTGTGTCACCAAAAACTTTCTTATATTGGCGTGTACTATCATTCCCTTAAAGGATGAAAACTTATTTGGTGATACCATGTATTGTTTAGGAGAAAGTATACGAAGAAGTTATAAATGTTGTCGGTAAAGATAGCCCTATAACCAGCAAGGACTTACCAAACCTCAAGTACACTGAAATGGTCGTTAATGAATCCTTAAGGCTGTTTCCAGTGGTACCATTCGTGGGAAGGTTTACCACAGGAGAAATTGACATTGGTAAAGTATAATAACATGTATCGCATTGCATAGCATTAAATACAATGTTTCAGGAAGGCTAGTTCTGCCAAAAGGCATAGAGATAGGCGTGTTAATTTTTCAGCTACACAGAAACGAAAAATATTTCCCTGATCCTTCAAAATTTGATCCGGACAGGTTTTTGCCCGAAGAAGTGGCGAAACGTCATCCTTACAGCTTTTTGCCGTTCTCCGGGGGGCCCAGAAACTGCATAGGCAAGTTTTACATTTATTTGATATGTAAAATGAAAAAAAAATATAACATTTGGTTTTATTAGGTTGGAAGTATGCGATGATGATGCTGAAAACTTCTATGGCGACTATAGTTAGAAATTATAAAATGCATTCGAATTATAAATCCACTGAGGAGATGGAACTGGAATCCCATATTATTTTGAGGACCTCTCATAATTTAGATTTAACATTCACACCGAGATATTGAAAATTGTACAAAATAAGTTTTTTTTTTTAATGTTTATTATAATTTGTTTAAGGTTTTTAGATAATTTTAATGTCAACTTTGTTTTTTTAAACATCTATTGACAAATTTAATTCATTAAATTGTCTTAAACTGCAGAAGAACAAAGAATACGAGGAAGACTAAAATACATGGAACCCAAAACAAATAAATTTGAAGAACTCAGTTTTAACAATTGTCTTAAAAAATAAAATAAAAAATAGTTGTCAAAATAAAAGTATATTTGTTTTTTTTTGGAGCACCTTGTACTGAGTTAATATCAAAATAATTATCATGCAAACTGCAGATTAACAAAGAATACAATCTTTGTAAAAGAAACTGAAAATCTACAAAAACACTAAAAAAGAATTTTAAAACTTAGTACAGTTTAGCATATAGGATAACGATTTTATAAGTCGAAAAGTGTGCGTTTCGAGTGTTTCACGATTGTGCCTTTATGTCCTGACCATTGTTACATTTATTTGAAATTCAGTGAATTTTCTTAAGGAAACATCCCTAAAAATTACAGGCCTTCAAAAATATAATATTTACTAACCATCTACCACATAATCACTGTCACAAATAACGTTTTAATATTTTTTTTATAAAATTTTACTTTGTTTCGGGTGTTACCATGGTTCTGTTTCGGGTGTTACAAGTAAAAAAATTAAACATTTTATATGGACAAAATCGGTGTTTTATTAGTCTCTAAGTACTACAAAATAAGTAAGTACCTAACAAATAAACATGAATAGAATGAATTATCCTTAAACATAACTTAAGCAGCTTCGGGTGCGATTGATAAATCGGCAAAAAGTGTAAAATCGTTATTATTGACAAAAATCGGTAAAAAAATAATTATTGACGAAAATCTTGGTAGGTATTCGGTATTCTGGTAGGACCGTTGCCATTTAGGTAGAAATGCTTAAATTTCGGTGGGTTCGACAACACCATCGGAAAAGCAGTCACACCTCCTTAAAAGATGTGTGACTGGTTTTTTGATGGTAACACCCGAAACGTTTCGGGTGTTACAGTTTTTAATCAAGAAAAACACATATAAAATTAGTCTCATGCTCAGATATTAGTTATTATTTTAAATCATTACCACTATTATAGTTATAATAACGTTACTTTTACTAAATATTTATTACACTAATCAATGTGTAGGGTATAATAATCAAACAATTACATGATTTTTCGTTTCGGTTGTTACAGTGGCAAAGTAAGAAGAAAACACACTTATAACGTGACCCAAGCAGCATTTTTGGTTCCAAAAACCATTGCCAAAGTGGTGATAACTTTAAATTAGTTAAGTATACTAAACAGCTACTTTAATTTTTACTTAAAAGTAATTTTAACTTTTAAATAGCAATATTTGGAACAGTAACTTAATTTTTCCTTAAATGGTTACTATAAAGTAATAAACATTTAAGTAAAACTTGGTTGCCCCCAAGAAGACTTTGCAACTTTAAAAAAGGTGTTATAAGTAAAAAAAACTTTCAAGTAAATTTAATTTGTAGCAGTTACTTTCGGTTGCTACCTAAAGATTACATTATAATTATTTTTACTTTGTAGTCCCTTTCCAAGTTAAAATCTCGAAACTGGAACATGAGTTAAAAACTACAAAGTTAATAACTTAAAAGTTATTATTTTAGTATTTGGAACGTTTATGGTACTAACCAAAACAACCGTAAAGTGGAAAAAACTTTAAAGTAGCGAAAACTACTTCAAAGGAAAATGCTTCTTATCGGCCATTTTTTACTGTACAGTACCACGTGGTAATGTAAATAATAAATTATTTTAATTGTTTGTAAATGGTTGTTTACTTTTTAATAAATAGTAATTTTGTTGGCAATAGACGGTATTAATAATGAAATCAAAAAATTAATAATAAATATTAATTTTTTTTTATTTATAAACATTAAATAAATAATTTGTTTATACTTAAATATTGATGAAGCGCATTTATTTTACAAAAACTAAATTCATAAGTTTAACAGTAAAATTTAAAGGGTTTATAAATTTACCTGCCTAATTAAACATTATATTGTTATTCTGGAAGTTATAAACTACCAGTACCAGTACCTACATATTTAATAAACGACGACATTGAAAAGCCAAGTCCGTATTGGTTCCATTTAAAAGGGAAGGATAGTATAATCTAATATAAGTTTGACAAAGACAGTTAACATAGAAGTAAAAAAATAAAATAAAAGTAATTAGGTATAACGCGTTAACGATACTGGAACGTTAACGATACTGGAACGTTCTAGTAACGTAGCAGCTACGTTCCAAATAGTAGCAGGGTTTATAGCTAGTTACATATTTGCTACCTTTTTGGAACTCAATAATTGTTCCCCACTTTAGTCGTAACTTAGTAATGAAAGAGTAATATAAAGAGACCGGCGACTGTCGCAAAACACTTTAAAGTTTCTTCAATAGTCCCATATACGTAACAAATACTTAATTTGTTGCTTGGGGATAATTATTAATTTTTTGTACGCGATCCACCAATACTCCAATAAATAATCTCAAATCACGTGGCAACACTGTTGACAGATTGACAGTTTTTTTCTCGTATTTCCAAAACTTATAGGCACAATGGTCCTTCAGCCAGTTCACTTGAGTACAGATTTTGAAGACTAACTTAAAAATTACGCGTTTCTTCTAGTTTTTTTTGTGACACATTATAATTTTGAATTTTTTATTTCAAAATTCATCAGATTTAATGCGAAAAGAACATATTCATTTTTTTACCCTCAGTATTGTTTGACATGGAATGATACATGATAAAATTGCCAGAAACTTAAATTTTGTTTTTGAAATTAGTATTTTTCCAAAATTCATGTAGCCTCCGTGGCGCAATTGGCTAGCGCGTTCGGCTGTTAACCGAAAGGTTGGTGGTTCGAGCCCACCCGGGGGCGAATTTTTTTTATTTAATTTAAAGTTTTTTTATTTTGTTTTTAATTTATCAAAACAAAAAATAAGAAAAATAATCTTTTTTCGGCAGAACGGCTCCACCAAACAACAACGATTTAACGCATTTGAACCGAATCAGTGATCCGATCGCACGTCGGATTGTTGTAATGCTTTTTGATGGATCGAATCATGTGCGATTTGCGAAAATGCGTAAACCAGCGCAAAAACCCGCCCCGCCGCTGAAAAAAAATCCGCAATTTGCATTCAAATTTTCCAGTCCGACCGAACGAAACAATTATTTTTTAATTAATCGCGCTTTTGATATTGAATCAAAGAAATCGGCCGGAAAATTAAATAACTCAATAAAGAGCGGTTAGAATATGTATTTTTAATAAAATAACATCACTTTGGATTATATTTGAAAAAAATGTTTACCTTTAGGGTAGCGTCATCTATTGTGCATTGTCATAAGTAGGTCCCCATTGACGTAAGTGAAGTAAGAAATAAGGTATGTTCTTTAGTGGGACGAATTTTGGTTCACTTAGCCTATCACCAAATTACCGCCATCTTAGTTTCATTCATACAAATTTCTATAAAATTATTTGATTTTTAGATTAAATTGTCGAATAATTTGAAGATCACACGTAAAAAACGATCTGTCACAATATTCACATTTCAAAAAAATATTATTAATGAAAAAAACTATTTTACATGTTTTTTTAATCAAATAAAATATATTGTTTTAAAGTAAATGGTATTTACTAAATACCAAATAAAATATATGAAAAAAGTGTTAAGAAAAATTTAATTTTAGTTCTTAGGCTAAATGTTTTAAATAATGGGTTTTCAAATAATAGTATATTACGCAACAAGTGTGGGAAGTGGCAAATTACGCATGAGTGGAAAAAGTTGCGCACGAGCGAAGCGAGTGCGCATTTCCACGAATGCGTAATTTGCCTTCCCACACGAGTTGTGTACTATACTTTTTCTACGACCACACTCTGTTCGCCTTAAAAAAAAATACATAAACAATCCTGATCACTCGACATATCTGCTGTAAATAGAATATTATTTTAAAATAATTACGGTTTTATTTCAAAATTACTTTAATCGTGAAAATCTGAATTTTTTTGATAATTCTATGTAGTTTATTACAAAATTTTTGTGTTCAAGTTTCATCGCCGTACACTGACAGTCGTCAAATATTGACAGTTCACAGCAGCTTTACCAACATAACCTTAATAATATAAACAAAAATCCCCAGAAAAAAACAAAATAGACAGAAAAACCCTAAAAGTGTGTTTTTTATTACCATTACGCACGTGTGCGTAATGACTAACTTTCAGTTATTAAGACTTTTACTGTAATGATCAAATTACATAGTGGTCGTAGAAAAAATAAATTATTCTGTTTTAAAGCAAATATAAAAAATGAAATGTAAAGTGTCAAGTTACAAAATTAACATTGCAAGAAAAATTTACTCTATTAAAATGAATTAGTCAAAAATAACTAATTATAAGTCATATTTGACTAATTGCGAAAAAGCAGTCATAATAATTAGTCAAATTCTACTGAATGAAATACTTAGTCAAATTAGTAGATTTAAATTTAAAAAAAGTTTTGACCCAGCCGGGGATTGAACTCAGGTATGTCACTTGTCAAGCTGTTTTCATAACCCATTTGGCCATCAGCCACTTTTATAAAAATCAATTTTATTTGTCAATAAATATTGTTCATAACATTTTAAAGTTGAATATATTATTTGTGTTGCTGTTTTGAACTAAACTTTTTGCATCTTTATTTGTTTTTATGGGTCATTTAACCATGGAGCTCAGGTATATGCATTTAATTCAAATAATACTTTGTTGTTGGCCGCAAACGATTAAAGAAATTAGTTACTCTTAACTCAGAAATAGTCAAAGATGGTGAATAATCTTAAATTAGTCAAACTTTAACTACTTACGTAGTAAAAAATAACTATTTAAAAGTGAAAACGACTATTTTATTAGTAAAAAATGCTGGTACTAATTCAAATAGTAGAATTTTGACTATTTCATTTTTAGAGAGTAAACATTTTTTTATAAATTTATTTATTACAAAATTGTATTTACAAATAATTGAAATTTAGGTTTAGTTTCAAAATAAAAACCATAAATCGGCCACCATGGAGCCAACATTGAATAAAACAAACTAAACTTGAGAAAAATATTATATTATGGTGGTTTTAATGCTTTTGGGATGTTTCAATCCCGGCCGTTTCATTATCAGCAGCATGCTGCAATTTAAGTTTCTGTTATGG